GTGAGGTGGTTGGGACATTTGTTACGAATGCCCAACCACTGACTGCTTCGGCGAGCGATATTTTGTGGTGTAAAAGTAGGTTGGAAGTAAGCTAGGGGCGGCCAGATCAAAATATGGCAGAAATCCATCAAGTCGCTGAAAAATGGACTGAGTTTTCTTGATAGATATCGGCTACGTGGTTGAGGTCCGCGAGACGAAAGTCACCGATGTTTAGAGAATTTGAATGACTCAGAACCGTTTGCAATGGTACAGTTGCATCCACTCTTTGTGTTCTCTAAAATTCTAATCTTCAGAATTCCTCATAACCCCTATCTTTCTCTTTCTAAATCAATTCCACTGAATTATACTTCTTGAATAATATCTTTGAACCCTGATCTTCTCCATTACTGCTTATACTTCTGCTACCTCTTACTATGGGGCTTCAGTTGACAGTTACGTCTCCGTGCTAATGTGCTATGGCACCTTGGACTGATGTACGCACGTACGAAGTTCTACGTTGTAGCTGACTGACTGACTGAAGTTTTACTCATGACGACAGTGTAATTTATCTACTCACAATAAAATTATTATGAACGAAAAAAGTGTACTCTTAAGCTCATCTGTGATTACGATCCCTAATATTTTTGAAGCGAAATGTATTCAGTTTTACTTTTATTTGTACATTTTATCACAAAACGAGAAAGATTTTTTTTCAAGAAATATACAGTAGTTGTTACCAAAATATACTTGTCTTAACGTTTTAAGTCATATTGTTAGGGCTTTGAATGTTAATTCAGAGTTATAATTTCTTTCGTCTCTTTAACTAATTATTCAGTTAAATAAGATGTAAAACAGATCAACTAAGTTAAATAAGTATAAATATCTATCTACGTGATAGTAGATGTTATAGTTTTCAACCATTAAATGTAGTGTAAAGGTGAACTGACAAAAGTGGATGTGTATTGTAGTTATTTTCTTTTTTTTCGTAGACAACATCAAATAATGTTCAAGATATTATTGAAGGACGTGTAGAGAAACGTACAAAAGATACATTTGTACCGATTGGAGGTGGCAAAATGCTTACATTTATGGATGACTTTAATATGCCTGCTAAAGATAGCTCTGGTTCACAACCGCCTCTTGAATTAATACGTCAATGGTTAGAATATGGATTTTGGTATGATCGTGCAAAACAAACTAGAAAGAAAATAAAAGGTATGGAACTTTTTGCAGCAATGGGTACACCGGGAGGTGGAAGAACGGTTTTATCTCAACGACTTCAGTCTCACTTTCATCAGATCGTAGTCACATTTCCAACGGTATGAATACTGATTTGGAATAAAAATTTATGATTGTATTTCTTTAAAACTTGATTATATTTTTGTGTAAATGTATGTTTATGCTGAGATGAGGCGAGAATCCTGTCAACAGGTTATCTTAAATATGCTTTATCAAATATAGTTACTTATTAAATGTTTTGGTTATTTAACCAATACGTGTTTAGTGGCCCAGAATCTAACTCGAATTTTTACGAACAGTCGAATATTCTGTGAAATAAATCTTTGATCTAATTTCCGTATATAATTTTTAGGCGAAACTCGTTTGTACAATGGTGGTTATTAAAAGCTTAATACAGTTTTGTGGATGAATTTATTTCACAAATTCATTTCAGCAGACGGACAAAAGGATGTGAAACGAAGCAAAGTGAAGCAGAGAGGGAGAGTATGTCAACTCAATGTAATGAGCTACTTATAATCAGACAAAAATAGGCTAGATGTGTAGTAAATGAAGCAGATAATGCACACATGAACTCAAGTAAAAAACAGCCAAGATTTTAAGCCAACAATTGACAAGATGAAAGAACTGATTCCCACTTCTCGAGAAGATTTGATTAATTAATTTGTCCGAAGTCTGGGACAAGCCATATGGGCTTGATTTATGAGTACACACCATAAAATACTGTTAATTTCCTTGTTCATTTACATGCAACTGTAAACCATCAGGGAAGCTAGATCGTCCCTACTGTACAACATCCAAACTTATTACTGATCGTCTCTTTTTTATATGTCAGCATTGTGAATGGGTTCGATAATAGGCACAACCAAGCCGATAACACTGAAAGCTGTTACTTTGAGTTTTAGGTTAAAGAAATAAGTACACCACCTCACAACAGATTTCACTTTAAATTGTCTTTAACATATAAACGTTATCAAATCACACCAACATTTGGAGAAACATGCATAACAATTACTGATCATACAAAATGCTTAGCCTATATCATATTCACTCACTTTCTGACCAAAAATAACTGGTTATGAGTACATTCCAGGAAGTACTTCATGCTTCAACTTCGTTTGACAAGCCAGTTTAGTTGTTGACAATACTTTTCAGCATTTGGTTAAAATAGTAATAAATTATGTTTAACAGTTAACATTCGTTGATATATTTTAGAACATCCGGGTAGCAAATTTGCAATTCAAATAGAACTTTATCGAATCATGTGATCAGAGATAAATATCTGTTGGAAATTTATGGTATAATTCTCGTTGATATTATGTTCTTTAAGTTGAGTCGTATGATCGTTAAGTTCTCACTATCTTTCTACACAGCATTATCAGTAAAAACCTCGATTAGAAGTTTGTTTTCTTTTATATCAGGAGGCGAATCTCAAACGAATCTATGGAACTATGATCACACAAAAATTACAAGAATTTCCAGATGAAGTTAAATCAATAGCTGATAGTTTAACTCAAGCTTCAATTGATCTATACCATGCAGTTGTTAATAGATTTTTGCCAACTCCAACGAAAATACACTATTTATTCAATTTAAGAGATATTTCCAAGGTAAGCTTTCTCTATGATTGATACTTTACAGTTATTAATGAATTCACTTTATGAGAATGATATGATGCTCTCTACACCAGATACCTAGCTAGCACTGTTCTATTGGACTTTAACACAATCCAAATTAAGAACATGTAATTAGCCTGACTTCATCGTGCATTATTAAACGAACATCAACCGACAAAGGGAAGGTGTATGTCACCTCGAAAACTGTTCAGACTACCTCCAGTCTGTCTAGATAAATAACCAATCACAATTTTCCTTTGCTCACACAACAGAGAAATAAAGTTTTAACTATTTGGTTTATTGTTTATAGTTTAAACTAAACTCTGTCTGGTTCCCTTTTGTGGTTACTGTGAGAAACAACTAGAAAGAGATACAGAAACAGTACCTTTTTCATATCGGGAGGTACTGGGCCACAAGGAGTAGATCTTTGTTCAGACTCTGGATAAGATTCAAGAAAGAAGAGAAAGGAAGGAAGTAATCAATTTTGGCCAAATTAAAGTAGAGAAAGTCAAGGCACTAGTCGAATACAAAGGAATAAGCAAACAAGTGAAGAGGCGCATTAAAGCTGACAGACGTAAATACATGGAACACCCAGCAATGACAGCGGACAAAAGTGTAGGAGAAAGAAGAAGGAGATATATAAATGATCCAACGAGTAAGCTCGATAGAAAGGATAGTTGACCAGAATGACTAATTAAAAGCAAGGAAGGCGCAGTAATCACCAACATGTGAAGCAGAGCAAAATAGGTGGGTAGAGGACTTCGAAGAAATCATGAATGGACCAGCTCCAGTGAACCCTCCCAACATCTAAGCAGCGCCTATGGACCGCCCACTTGGTTTTGACCCACCAACGATTGCAGAGATCAGTAAAGCCATTAGATATATCAGGAGCGGTAAAGCAGCAGGACTAGAGAACATTCTAGCTAAGGAACTGAAAGCAGGTCTAGCACTAACTACAAAGATGTTCCATGCTCTGCTCAGCAAGATTTGCGAAGAAGAAGAACAAATACCAACCAACTGGTGAGAAAGGTACTTCATCAAGATACTAAAAAAAGGAGATCGCAGGAAATGTGAGGGCTATGGAGGCATCAACATTTGATTGGAAGTTTGAGATACACGGGACAGCTTGGATACAGCTGAACTATTTGGAATTCGTACATGATCCAGCCCTTATGTCCTTCACGCAACTACAAATGCAGTAGAAGATAGCCAATATATAGCAGCAACCTCGACAGAAGTAGGTCTAAAAATACACAAGGGAAAAGTCAAGATCCTCCGGTAAAACACAACATACACCAACCAAATAGCAGTTGACTGAGAAGCTGTGAAAGGTGTGGAGACGTTTACAAATCTGGACAGGATCGTTTATGAGCAAAGTGGGTCTAATGGATATGTAAGGTACGAATCGGCAAAGCAGGGGCAGTATTTCTACAATTGAAGAACGTATGGAACTCAAAGCAACTATCTACAAACACCAAAGTCAGAATTTTCAGTATAAACGTCAAGGTAGTTTCATTGTATGAAGTGAAAACTTGGAGAAACACGAAAGCCATCATGAAAAGATACAGGTCTTTATTAACAGTTCTCTACGCAAGATACGTCGGATCTGTTGGACAGACACCATCACCGACTGTGGGAGAGAACAAAGCAGTTTGAAGCTGAACTAGGTATCAGGAAAAAGACGCTGGAGGTAGATAGGCCACACATTGCGCTGATCTCCCAATTGTTTCTCGACTCGACCCCTAAGTTTGATTCTCCAAAGTCAATCGAAAAGCAGAATACCAATGAACAAATTACATCAAGAATTGGAGACAGATATGAAAATAATGAACAGCATTTGGGTAGAACTTGGGTGGAAGGTACAGGACATGATTGGTGGTGGGCGGCCAGTTCCCTATTAGGGGTAATAGGCTTAGGTAATTAAGGAAGTAATGACTTTATAGAAGTTGAAGCTTCTTTATCTTGTTAATCCTTACTCACTTAATGAAAAGTATACAGTTAATTTCTTCCCTTTTCTGATTGTGAAATGATAAAATCATTTTGTTTAATACGAAGTGCAACAACTTATTTTATTACTTTAATAGAATCGAACAATCATCATCATAAGCCTTTAATCAGTTGTTTAAATTGAAAGTGAACAATGTTTATACCAGACTTCTTATGGGAATTCTATTCAATATTAAATACATGGATTATTAGAGTTTTAAAGGATGTCATCTTTTTAGTGTACTTGGAATAAATATTTTTTTGAAATGTTTGGTAAGTCGTATACTAAAGTTCTACTAATAAGTAAACAACATGTGACTAAATCGTTTTGTTTATGTATCGTTCTGTCGTAGGCGATTTAGGGTCTGACAGATATGATCATCAGTTAAAGTTGTTGTACATCACCACGGGATTTGATAGTTCAATGTAACAACATTTTGAGTAGAAAGGGAGAATAGTGAGAGTGAAGTGGATGCCTAAACCTAGGAAATATTCCCGGAAAATTCCGAGTTAGATAAAGAATAAATGAGATTGTAATACTATAGAAGAAGTTCGATATATGTTGTTTGTGTTTCTTGATTGTAATTCTTTTTTTTTCATGTATAGTTCATTGCACATGCTTAGGCTTCCTTTTTTTCTAATATTTGAGATCTTTCAAGGTTTACTTCGAGCTAGTAAAAATTATATTGATACTCGTAATTCCATGCTTCGTTTATGGATTCATGAAGGATTACGTGTATTTTGTGATCGTATGATAGATGACAAAGATAGAACAACATATACTGAAGTAGTAGGTGACTTGTTGGCCAGTTATTTTGATCAAACCTATCATGCAATGTGTCCGGCTAAACAATCTCCTATATTTGTGGATTTTATCAATTCTGATAATGCATATGAAGATGTGACAGATTTGGATAAACTGCGTAGATTTATGACTCAAACTTTAAAAGAATATAATGAATCGCCTGGTATGGTGCATGTAGATTTGGTCATGTTCCGTGATGCCATTGAACATAGTAAGTATATTATTCAGTTCTTTTTTTTTTAAATATAAATAATAAAAAGACTACTCACTGTTTTTTTTTTAATTCTTGATGAACAATTAATATTTATCAACTAAATAATTACTGATACTGAAGAAATCATTTTAAGTGATCATCGCGGTTTATAACATAGCAAATATCTTGGAAAAATATGTGTTTTGTTTAGCTACTCAGAAACACAGAGACACCTTGGGGCTCAAGTAGTTTTAGCACATCTACTTCAAGGTATGTATATGCCTTTACATTTATGTTACATTATAAACTTTAGTATTCTACAACAAGTGATAAATGAAATGTCCGAAAATCATACATCTAATCTGAGATCAGAACATAGTTATAGAAGGTAGGAGAAAGCTTTCATGCCTGACTCTACACATCTTCATGTGTTCGCTTGAACAAAATAGAAACTACGCTTGTGCAACATATAAACACTTTTAAATGAATTCATTTAGGCTCACTATAAAAATACACTTTCTCATGGTTTGTGTAGATGAGCCCAGTTTGGTCATTTGATAAAATCATTTGACAATTTATTCGTTTATAAATGATCATTGAATTTTATCTGAGTAATAGGCTTGATGACATATATGAATAGAATTTCTTCATCATATTATATAATCTGAAATTACGGGTTGACTGCATTTTAAATATAACGACACACTAAATAAATGCAGTGATTAGGATTGTTTTTCCAAAACATACTCGATAGTAATTCGTCTAGTATTCATTAATAATGCTAATAACAATGAAATCCATTTTTATTTCAATTAGCATGCAAAATTGTTCGTGTAATTAATCAACCAAGAGGTAATATGCTGTTAATTGGTATTGGAGGTAGTGGTCGACAAAGTCTGAGTCGTTTAGCCGCTTATATATGTGAATATAAAACATTTCAAGTGGAAGTTACAAAACATTATCGAAAACAAGAATTTCGGGATGGTATGTTAATATTAGATTCTTTTAAAATAAATGAATAATCTTATCATCACTATGATAATGTCATTTGCATTTATCTGCATCAGTCGAATCGGTTTGCGTCTATGCACGTTTAATAGTCAGATTCTCTCACTATCCCACCGTAGTTAGATTTTATGGACTAACATAAGTTATTTATTTCATGTTAAATACTCGAATTCGGCTTTAGTGAGTTAAAATTATGGATAGAACGCGTTTGTGAAGGAGTTTAAGTCATGGTATAAAAATGTACGAAATTTCATGTATAAAGACTTTCAGTAAGTAATTATTCTCATGTCCTAACATAAGGCTATAGTGTTTAGGTGGAAGCTATAAAGTATCATGGAAAGCATAAGAATACTTTAGATATTACACACTTCCTTTGGTTTTAAAGTAAAAAGTAATAAAAAGAAACAACACGTTATCACTGATATTTAATACCGATCGAAATTAAATACTACATATTTCATGAAATTGTTCAGGCAGTATATATGAATGAACAAAGAAACTTTTTAGATTTTGCATGAGCAATATACTTACTTGATTACTTACGCCTGTTACTCCCAATGGAGCGTAGTCCGCCCACCAGTTTTCTCCAACCAATTCTGTCCTGGGCTTCCTTCTCTAGTTCTGTCTGATTTTTGTTCATTCTTCTCATGTCTTTCTCCATTTCTCGGCGTAATGTGTTCCTTGGAATTCCTCTTTTCCTTTGACCTTGAGAGTTCCATGTGAGGGCTTGTCTTGTGACGCAGTTAGGTGCTTTATGTAATGTGTGTCCGCTTCCACCGCTTCCTCCTGATTTCCTCCTCCACTGGAATCTGGTTTGTCCTCTCCCACAGTAGGTTGTTGCTGATGGTGTCTGGCCAACGAATCCGAAGTATTTTGCGAAGACAACTGTTAATAAATACTTGTATCTTCTGGATGATGGCTTTGGTAGTTCGCGAAGTTTCCGTTCCATACAGTAGAACTGTCCTGACTTTTGTATTGAAAATCTTGATTTTTGTGTTGATTGATATTTGTTTGGAGTTCCAGATATTTTTCAGTTGTAGAAATGCAGCCCTCGCTTTGCCAATCCGCGCCCTTACATCTGCATCGGATTCACCTTGATTGTCGATGATGCTGCCCAGATATGTAAAGGTGTCAGCGTCCTCCAAGGCATCTCCATCAAGAGTGATTTGGTTGGTGCATGTTGTGTTGCATCGGAGAATTTTGCTTTTTCCTTTATGTATGTTGAGACCTACTGCTGCAGAGGCTGCTGCTACACTGGTCGTCTTCTCTTGCATCACCATAAACCATAAGATAGGCTGTAAAGGGTTTTTATTTTTTCGTTCTGGTTATTTCGACAATAGTGAATGATTTTCAGTTGTGTTTTGTAGTTCGGTTAGCGTAGATGGCAAATAACTTGATTAACATGAATTGATGATATTAACACAGTTGCATTACCCAAGCATAGGTCTGTTTTAAAGGTTAACTAGACGACAACATTTAGTTTCCTGTGTATATATGTTAGGGGAGTTAGATCCCCAGAACTCATTTGAGAAAGGCCCTAATTCTGGATTTTTTGTTTACGCGCATGGGCTGATCAGCTGACCTTGAGGTTACATTTCCCACCCGGAAAATCTTTGACTGTTATTGTTTGATGGGTTATTTTAGTACATTATTTTTCTGGCTCTCCCAAGGACATTTCTATCATGTATAAATAAACTCGATTTGTGTGCTTGTCAACCTCATATTTTCTGGGTGCTCGTAGAATACACTTTCTACGCTTTATCAAGACTTCTTGATATAGTTAGCAGGGCCTGGGATTAGAATAGCCTACTGTGTCAATGCACGACTTGTATTCGCTCTCGTTTACCGAGTAAGGTGAACTCGTAATAGTTTCAAGCCTATCAATTGACGAGCATATCAATTTAATAATACAATGTAAGTGTAACAACAAGTTACATACGTGCACCATTACTAAGCAGATAGACAGTAAACTCTTTGTCACAGCCATACCGTTTCTTATTTGATGATGGCAAAAAGCCATCATAATAAATATTCTTTTCTTTAGTACTTTTGTTGGTGTTAGTAGTAAATGATGGTGTTTTGAAATGTAAACATTTTCTTTTGAAATGTCTTAATTTTATTAATAGATTTAAAGAAAATGTATCATCAAGCTGGTGTTGAAAATAAACCAACAGTATTCTTATTTACTGATACACAAGTGTTAGAAGAATCATTTCTAGAAGATATTAATAATATGTTAAGTTCTGGTGAAGTGCCTATTTTATACAAATCTGATGAATTCGAAGAAGTTAAACAACAGTTAGTCGATATAGCTAAACGAGAAGGTGTTGATGATTCCACTCAGGTAAATACTACGAGTGTAAATATTCATTTTAAATTTAAACTCATGAAATAGTTAAACTTTGAGATTACTGAGTTCAGCTAGTTGATTCGAATGGATTTAAAATAAGTAGCATTCTTATTTCAGCCTATTCAACTATTCTACCTTTTCACTTATTCTTAAGGGTCGGCAATAGTCAACTTACTTAGAACAGATTTTCAGTAAACTATCTGATCGATAATAATACAAGTAGATACTTTAAAGTTTGTGTTCTGTAACTAATCGAAAATGTAAATTAATCTGATTTATTTACAAACAGGAAACAGGTTATTTGGATTTCTAGATATGTATTCTCCTTTCTAATCACTCAGTCCCGACTCACCTTTGCATATAGTGAAGCAACTGAATATCCGCTGGCCGTCCCCACTGACGCGCTATACAGGTTACCATAAAATTAGATTGGAATAGAAACAGGGCATCTAAGTCAGGATATGTTTCTAGAATTACGCTCTTTATTTTATGGTTTGCTGGATATGCGTTGTCTAGGAGTGGACCGAAATAATGGCTGTATAATCTGTATGCTCATTCTATGTCATCTCCTTAACGTTGAAAATGGTGTTTATCCATACTTTCGAATACTTCCTCTGTCCAATTCTACTCTGCTGACAGTATAACCAGCTTCTTCCTCTTGCTTGTTAATTTCTACTTTGTGTGTTGATGTAAAGTGTGACAAAATTAGATAATATACAGTTGTTCCAAGTTCTATTTGTTTCTGCTTATGTGTGGTTTTTAAACCCCAAGTAAGTTTATGATATAATGCAACCTTATAACTTGGTTGGAAAAAATACGTATTTAGAGAAAAACAATACAAAGGCTGGCAGTCAAAGGAGCGGTTTCAGCACTTCAGATCATCAAAGATAGAAAGTTATCATAGGCAATAAAACATTAAAATGACGCAATTGTTGTTTGTCACTTAAACCAGATACAGGAGTATAAATCAAGCCATCTTTTACATTACAATAGGTTAAAATGGTAGGTCACCTCCAGTCTTTAGCCACCGGCCGACCATCCTATGGTTTTCTCTCAAGTAATTTGCACCATTTTTAAAGCCTTATTATTTTTAGCAAATAAACGTTAGCCAACTTCATTAGGCTTTTTTGATTTTATTTTTATACATCATTTGTCTGTTTATTTTATTTGTTATTCAATAATTTTACCCATGCTATTTTAATTCATTTAATACAGTATTCTGTTCCAGTCAAGCTATTTTCGCTTTAAAGTGAAATTTCCTTTGGCTTAGTTAAGGAATCATAAATATGACTTGAAATATTACGTGAATAAGCATGCAGCATTTCGGTAGTTACACTAATATGGCCAGGTTAATCAGTGGTTGAAGCATTAGACTTTTAAACGTTAGGTGGAGGCTTCGAACCTCATCTCACTGAATAATAATACCGTTGGATTTCTCAAAACAGAAAATAAAGGCTCATATTTTAGTACACCAATTCGTATTTAGTAACGAATCGTGTTGGTGATCATACAACATTGAACATTTGTTTTTATTGTTCATCTTACATTCTGCTTTTGTTTTTATTTATAGTCAATATTTCGCTTCTTCATTGAACGTGTTCGCGCTAATCTACACATTATTTTATGTATGAGTCCTATTGGTGAACCATTTCGTAATCGTATTCGAATGTTTCCCGCATTTGTTAACTGTACTACAATCGATTGGTTCAGTGAATGGCCACTTGAAGCGTTACTAGAAGTAGCTGAGAAATATTTAGCATCTGTTGACATTAATATTAACGAACCAGATGTAAGTCTTGTTGGCGATGTTTTAATTGTTAAACGACCTAAATATTCAAGTAATAAACAGTCTATAGAATATTCTTGGATAATTTAGGTATAGCAACTTAAATTTGAAGTTTGAATCATCTTTCAATTACCAGTTTTCTTACAAACTTTATTTCAGAAAAAATCACTTCATTTTTCTGAATGTAGTTTACTCATCAATTATTATAATAGTTGATCTATTAATATATATCAGTTTAAGCAATTTATATTCTTGTACGACTCTAGGTCACAATAATCTGCACTTCATTACTCGTTTATTGAGAAATATGATTCCGTTTTACATTGACCACAACATGTGGAAATAATGTATATCAGCAGTGTGTTTAAATGTAAGAAAAAAGTAACCTGATAAACTAAGTTGAAGAATTAAATAAAAACAAAATGGCCGGCTAAGTAATTAAAAAGTGAATGAAAAATGCCAAAAGCTAATAAAAAATTGATAAGATCTCTTTGTACTGTACAAGTCTTAGAAACTTTAATAATCTTCTTATTCCAGTCACTATTATCTCATTTGACCTTTAGCTGATATATCATTAAGCAAGTAATGCACTGAACTGATGCACTGGTGTTGTTATTGTTTTTGAGTCGATCTCTGCTAACTTCTGTAAGTTTTACCGTACGTTACTACTGTTACTTACGTCTGTTACCCCTAATAGAGCATAGGCCGCCGACCAACATTCTCCATTGATTGGTTTTGTGGCATGTACAACATGTAGTATTACTTACTTACTTAACCCTATTACTCCCGATGGAGCATAGACCACTGACCAGCATTCTCCAACCTACTCTGTCCTCCACCTTCCCTCCTAGTTCTGTCCAAGCGTTGTTCATTCTCATGTCTATGTCCGATTCTTGGTCTTTCTCTTTTCCTTTGGCCTTGAGGATTCCAGGTGAGGGCTTGTATTGTGACTCAGTTAGGTGCTTTCCTTAATGAGTGTCCTATCCACTCCCAGCTCTTCGTCCTAATTTCTTCTTCTTGTTGGAATATGGTTTGTTCCCTCCCACAGTAAGTTGTTGCTGATGGCGTCTGTCCAACAGATCCGAGGTATTTTGCGTAGACATCTGTTAATAAACACTTGCACCTTGTGGATGATGGCTTTCGTGGTTCACCAAGTTTCCAACCCATACAGTAGAACTATCTTGACATTTGTATTGAAAAGTCACAATTGGAATCAATTTATATATCAATCTCAATGATTTAGCAATGGTTCTTATGCTAGTCAATTATCATTATATCTAGCTATTTCATTCATTGTGAATGAATTTTTTAGAATAATTAGATTCTATTTTATTTTATGCTTAATGACATCCACAAACCAATCAATATATACTCTTTGAACATTTGATTCAACAAAGTCAACTGATATTCTGTGTAACAATATATATATATATATATATATATATATATATATATATATATATATAAGTAATATGTGCTTATTAAATACTATCATAAAATTTTCTTTATGAATATTTTAATTTTAGCCTCAACTTCTGGTTAAAAAACAGGTAAATTAACTATTTTATTTATAGTCAGCGATGTAAATGTAACTGATCATGGTTTTTGTGATTTGTGTTCGAATTTCAATTGATTTATAATAGTATTTAATTATTATAATAACTTTTTATTCAGCTCTCTCCACGTAGTTGTTTCCTAGTTGATTCTTATCAAAAACTATGCAAAATTTATCTTCATACTAGTTAGTTAATAAGTAGTGTATTATTAATATTTACTGAAATCAATTATCTCAAGTTTTAGAAATCATATTTTATTTTTATGCTGTTCAAAGTTTGTTTTGTCATTCTTACTTTCAGACATTTTCTACAATGTTTTATTTTTGTGAATAAATAGGCTAGAATGAAAGTAAGTGTTGCGAAAATATTTGCCAGTATGCATCGATCAGTTACTGATATGGCAGTGGTCATGCTTAATGAATTAAAACGTCATAGTTACATTACACCAACGAATTATTTAGAATTTGTATCTGGTTACAAAACGTAAGTGTTTAATTGGGAAAAATTATTATTGTATAATTAATAATAATGTTTGCTTGCATAGTTAAAATGATCATGCTAACAAATGACTAAATGACATGCAAATGTTACACAAAATCGTAAAAATTGTGAAATAATAGGTAATTCATGGTGGACAATTTTTTTACCCTGATGACTGCTAATCATTGTGTTCTGTTCTCTGAAATGAGTGCGATATATAATTGTGACGCTTTGACGTTTACTCTGGAATCACCATTGGCGCTACGTGAGATAGAATTAATCTGCAAGTCCTAAACAAATACGTTTCACTGCTGTGGCTACTATTTGTCTCATTTTGATTTCTACCCATTTCCTTGAATAATCTTCATAACATTTGTTGATAAATTGGATTTGTTACACTCTGCTCAATGACTGCATATTGACTTGATTGTTAAGCTTTTAAGGATTCTCGACCATTCTTAGAATAGTCCCTTTTCAGAATTATGACATTTCATTACGTGAATTCATGGCTATGGCTGTTTGTATGCAATAATTAAGACAGGTGATAAAATGCCGTCATAAAACTAATATAAGAAATTCTAATACACAGTTGTTCATGAAACTAATCCAAATTAGAACAGTAAAAATCTAACAATAAATAAAACTGATTCTGTACAAACACTATTTAGAAGAGTAGAAACATACTGAGACACCCATTCAGCATGCAACTCAAAGGAATCCAATTGTATTCTCTTACAATCACTATCCATACAAATTTATCGAAATTCTTTTGGAAATCAACCTTTTTTTGTTTTCATACACATTACTGCTTATTTAATTATATGAAGTTAAAAATAAATTCATTTCAAATAACTACACATTCTAGATGTTTGCACTCTTATATGTATTATTATTTATTAAAACATCCGTTTTGTTTATCAATATCGCAGTCGATACAACTTCAAGTTAGTTTATCAGTCTCAATATGAAAACCAGTACATCAAAACAGCACAGCCGGATGGAAGTAGCCAGACAAGTGCTAGCGCGTTAGAAGTAATCACAATATCACTTGTAATTGAAAACATGAAATATAAAAAATATGATTCGCAAAAAAACACCAGATAATCATAAAACTTAGAATTTAGGTCAAGAGAAAGGATCAGAATACAACTGCAGTAGGTTGAACGATTTTGAACTATACCATCAAACGTCTCCATCTGTTAGGCTGATCAAATTTTACCTGAAGATGATTGATGAGTTGTAAATGTAAACATTGTTCAATTATTTAACATAGTAGGATTATATTGGAGGATTGTGTTGAATGGTATCCCTTTTTATACGCACAGTATAAATTCATATCTCATACAAACACTTATTCATTTATATTCTTCAGTGAATTTCTTTTATATTTATTTTTACAGTCTTCTTTATCAAAAACGTGACGAATTAAGTAATAAAGCAAATAAATTAACAAACGGTCTTGATAAAATCGATGAAACACGGAAAAAAGTTGAAGGTGATTTAATGTTTAATAGTTTTCATTGTCACTTTGTGAGTGAACGTTTGTTTATTTTTAGAACGAATCAATGGGTAAATAGCTCAGTGGATATCATATTACGCTCTTAAAGTTGAAGGTATTGAGTTCAAGCTCCGGTGTGAGTATTACTACTGCAGTGTAGGTACATTTTACTGACAAGTTCCAAGCACAATGAAATAAACGTCTACGATTTCACCGCCTGCCACAATCCTTCTTTAGACGCCTGAATAAAAGTTTAAAATACTTCTGACTATTTCGTAGTTGAATTTTAACATAATGCAGTCATTTCTATCTAATCATACATCACTTTAACCTAACAAATCAACAAAAGTTTGAATAAAGAGCATAGAAGATGATGGCGGAAACTGTTGGAGATGCAAAGCTAGCGTATCAAAATTATCACTTACAGTAGTCAAATAGAAAAGAAAATATATTACCCGAATAAGAAGACTTTAGTATCGTCGTTACATATGCTTTGGGAAAGTAGAGTTTCCTCATTAAACATTCCTGCGAAGGCTGTTAATTAATTAATTTTACCTTGAAGTCAATAAAGTATCGAATTTCCATTCTTGTTTTTCTGGGTTACGATGAACAGTAAGACTAGCACCATCCAGTTTCAACTAGCTATCATAACTTTACATCGTTTATAGAAGATATTTAAGCATTAAGTAAGAACCAGTCTTGTGCACTTTAAGACCATAATATTCATTTAATTTCTCCTGTCATCATTACATAAGTGAATAATTGTGAGATATGGATAATAGCCTCAATTATTGCCAATTACAAGAGTTTATAATCTGCATTAAATCTCCACTGTCAAGAAATTTCAGCATATCCTTATTTTAAATTAAAAAAACCATTGCTGAGCATAGGGAATTAGCCTTTTTAGAATAAGCTATTTGCCAATTGACAGAACTAGATATGTTAGATCTCTTGAATCTAATTATACCTAATTAAGTCGATATATGTTGAAACAAAATAAAAAGCTCTGAAAATAAATAACAATTTATAGAAACTCTCTACATGTTATAAGTAAACATTTAGATTATTTCATTATAATTAAATATACGGTTATGTATAAGTTCGGTATTACTTTTGATTTTCAGTAATGTCTGTAGAACTAGAAGAGGCTAGAAAGAAAGTGGCTGCATTTCAGAAAGAATGTGATGATTATCTTGTAATTATTGTTCAACAAAAACGTGAAGCTGATGAACAGGCTAAAGTAAGTGATTTTTTTGAATTTGAGTCATCCTACTACTATCACTAATATCCGATTGATCTTAATAAACTTATTAAAGTATTTTACTAAAGGTCATCATGTCCCATTAATAATTTTTACAATCCTTTAAATGATGGAAATTTTTTATTCATTTCACGACAGTGTCATTTTATACACTTTAAGCTGCATATTAGGACATGTAAGCATTAAAAAAACTATGGGAATTGAGTGTTTCTAGTGCAATGTTAAGTAGGCGGATAAAGTATTGATTGGTTGTTTTCTTAGAAAAACTGGCAGATAGTCCCACAGGTATTTAATATTTCATTGAAACAATGGTGTCAGACCATCAACATTTCGCCCTAGTATGACGTTCGTCAACAAGGAGCATCCAAAGCCCTATAGGCGGCAGTCGAACCCAGAACCTTCAGTTTAGCATACGGACATAGAAATTTCTCTTCTTTTGTCTAATATTATTCAAATCAGAATATAATACTGGAATAGTATATCTATTAATAAACTGTTATACAACGGCTACACTTTCAGGACTAAGCTGATGACCATTTACAAAGAAAATAATCTTCTGTGCTACATCAATTCACGAAAACCAATGAAAATTTGTAGTTGACTAGTTTATGTTCAAATATAATAACTTTTGTTGTACAATGTACATTAAAACATTATCTACCTTTCCATAAACATTAGGATTCAAACCAATGTGTATTTATAGCAAATTCAAAATTCATTGGTTATAAGTAATAAAATTTCAGCTATTAGACTGGAAGCTTAAACTTAATTCACTCTCTAATTTAATTTTACTACCTTAAGTTGTATTGTCTAAAAATAAATTAAACAGATTTTTATCGCATATCTTAGTAATGTAAACATGTATTTGTTAAATAAATTCACAATACTAGTTTTTGTAAAAGGATATTATTGATAACAGTAGAAACTTTTTATATTTTAACTTTAACTATTACTTTTAGTCTGTTATGCAAACTCGAGAGAAAATAAAAATAGATGAAGCCAAATGTTTACATATGGCTCAATTAGCTCAAGAAGACTTATCACAAGCTATGCCAGCTTTAGAAGACGCTGTACGAGCATTGGAAGCGTTAAATAAAAAGGATATTACAGAAATTAAATCCTATGGAAAACCACCATACCTAGTACAAAAGGTTTGTTTGTTTATTTTCACTTTAATTTAATCAGTGGTCTAGTTTTATTATAAGAAGATAGATTATTGTTTATTCGGCTCAGAAATAAAACGAATTATACAATCTGTGAATGCAATCACTAATAAACTGAATTTCGTAAACAGAAGTGGATAATTTGGCCTCGATAGAAGTTAGTTTTTGCCAAATAGTTTCGTTTTCGTTTGATCTCCTTTCATTTACATTATGAAGGTCATTAACTTAGCCTTTGATCACTCATCATCACTTGGCCAATTCTCATCAATTCTGACTATCGATAGCCTGGCCAATAATTCACTTTGCTTTTTACCGTTTTAGTAAATTATACTGCCTAGTAATTTACGAGTTAATAATAATGATAATAATAAAGAGTTAATGATCTACGGTAAACTTTCTATAAATATTAACGATACTGCATAGACCTGATACTAACCTACACTTATTGTTGATTCTATCTACACATAGATTAAGTGTGGACCTCCTCTTGTGAAGTATCCATGCAGGTTAACAATTCTGCAAGTCTATAAAGAGAAATGCTCCCTACAATTATGACATAAAGAGTAATGATAATATACATTAGAGTAAATGATGGCTATTAATAACTGTATGTGTATTTACACAATTATTTTATTTTAAAAGATTCAGAAACAGACCACAATGTCTTCTGAAATCTCGTTTAAACACATATTCATGCAATTAATTTCCTACATTAAAATATTAGTTTTTTTTTCTAGGTTCTTGAAGCTGTAATGATTCTTCGAGGAGCTGATACCAGTTGGGCTGAAGCAAAAAGACAATTGGGTGAACAAGATTTTATTAAACAACTTATAAATTTCGATAAAGATAATATTAGTGATAAAACTTTGAAAAAAATTAGTCAATATTGTATACAAGATGATTTTCAACCTGATGTAGTTGGTAAAGTGAGTAAAAATCACTGAATAATATCATTCATGATGTCATTGCACTATGATGATTTAATGAATCATAAGGAAGTAACTAGTTGAAGTATTTGGCTTTCAACCAACCATTCAATCATAACTTAGAATTGAAAAAAATAATTCGATTTGGATAGTTCAGCAGTTTCACTAACCTTTACATAAAGTGTTTATTAAAATCGAATAAATGTAAATATACCTGGTAACTAAGTTGCATAATAATATAAATGATAAATAAGGGTGATAAGAACCTGGAAAATGATTAATAGTTTTCTACAAACAACCACAACACTATGTAAAATGATGTTCACATAAAGTTACTAGTCAGATTTTAATTCGATCGGTATGCTATATCGGTATACTATATGCCTGGTAGAGTTAGGTGATTCAATTCTGATTGTAAACATGACTTACTTGGGAATATTATTTATCATTTACGGAACAAATCCTTTTTACCGGACATAAATTTCAACACTAACGCTAAATCTATGCTTTACTAAATAAACATGTATCAAAGAAGGGAATTCAGTAAGTCTGCCATAATCTAAATCAGTTCAGACATGATATAAGTAGGAATAATATGAATGAATTCTTTTGTGAAATTTAAAATCATTTCACAATTAGACGATTGCAGAAAATGTCTAGGAACACTCCTGCCGTTCTCAAGTTATCTTCATTCTGATATTTAAATCCAATCCCGAGCCCAATGTATTCAATGGTCTTCCATTTTTCCGTTCGTCTAAACGAATCCATGTTAAGATTTACTTTGTAGTACACTTTCACGTCTCATGTTCACTAAGTTTCCGCTTCATACAATAGGACTATCTTGACCCTCGAATTTAAACGCTGACCTTGGTGTTTATCAATAGCAGTTTTCAGTTCTAGATAGTTGCGATTTGTAGAAATACCGCCCTTACTTTGCCTATCCATGTCTTCATATGTGCATCAGATCAAACTTGCTCGTCAATGATCCTGTCCACATTTGTAAAAACGTATCCACACCTTCAAAAGCCCCATCCATCAAGTAAATTTTGGTTAGTGTATGCTGCTTTGAATCAGAGGATCTTCATTTTTCTCTTCTGTATATTGAGACCTACTGCCGACACTGACCGTCTTCACCTGAATTTTTTTCTATGTGTGAGATAGATAAGCTTCATCATCCGAGAAGCCCAAATCATCCAGCTGCATCCGAGCTGTACATTGTATTCCTTGCTGCCATTGAAATGTCGAAGTATTCTTAGTCCAGTCAATCGCCAGAAGAAAGAGAAGGGGTGAGAGTGAGTAGTATTGTCTGACACCGTTCATCACTTGGAACGAATATGCAAGCTGACCTCTATACACGATTTCTCGTTACCTGATCAGTCCTTATGGAATCTAGTCTGCTGATCTCAAAGTTTGGTGTCTTCTGAAACTTTCATTCAGTTCAGTCACAGTCTGTTGTTTGTACTGACAGTGGAGTGCTGCTCTTGTATCTCTCACACTTGCTGAACTTCCTTTTCTTTGGTATCTTGACGAGGCTTCCTTATTTCCAATCTGTTGGAACTTGTTCTTCCTTCCAAATCTTTCTGAAGAGAGTGTGGCGCATCTATGTAGTTGTTTCCATGTCTGTTTTTAGTTCGTCTGATGACCATTCAGATTTCTTTCATTTTTAGGAATGTGTGTAAGTGCCACCAAATGAGGATGATTTGGTACTTTTTAAACATGATTTATACATCTTATAAAACAAAATTCATAAAAGTTAACATTGCTTCGTCGTAACACTTTGAATTCTCGTAGGTTTCAAGCGCAGCAAAATCATTATGTATGTGGGTTCGGGCAATGGATGTTTACGGTCGTGTTTACAGATTTGTTGAACCAAAGCGTCAGAGACTTCGGCAAGCTGAAGAAACGTTACGTGAGAAACAAGAACAGTTAGCAGCTGCACAGGCAAAACTCGATGAAGTTAATGCTGAAATGCGACGTTTACAACAAGAGTATAATGAAAAGGTATATCTTTTTAGTTATTTTTTCAAGTTAATTTCTATGTATGGTAGTACTTATCATTTCGATTAGCCACGGTCCTCAGTTATACAACAATGGTTGCTCAAGTTTTGCAGACCATACTTGTTTGTAACATGAACAGTAAACTACTAGCCAGGTTTTCAGGAGAAGAAGTAGTTAAAATATTGTTGTACGTTTCGCGTAATCAAATGCACTGGATAGCTTGCATGTTGTGATTGACCGAGTAAAGTTTGGTTTCTAAAATACTGTATATTAATAAAAACATCTACTATGGGATCGAACTGTAAATATGATGTGGTTCAAAATATATAATACGAACGCCACCAGCTCCTGATGCGGATTGTAACACATCTGCTAATCTACTTGATGTGACTTAAAGCATGATCGAAAGTGTTTGTGTATCTAGATAATATTCAGTCACTCTAACTCATAACTCTAAATCTCAACTCCAAGCTATTCAGGTTTGTAAACAAAAGGGTGTCATATTAGCATGGCATTGATAGCTTATGTCAGATGGTGACGAAAACCCTCTAGGGTCATAACCTTTAACTTACAACACTAGCCTAACTTCTAATGCATCTACTTTAATTGTTTACTATAAGCCAATAAGTAGTAATTCAGCTGGTGGAGGATTATTTATCATATCAAAACAACTAGTTCACTGTAATTTTATTGCTTTGTTTCATAACTAACCAATATTTCCTGATTAGCCAATAAGTCATTGAAGGTCATCAGCATAGTATACTTTTAACTCAAGCTCTAGTTGAAACTAAAAGTTGTGTTACCTACTTGTGGATGTCCTAACTTCTTATTTATAAATAATATTCCGGTGTATATGCCTACGTCTAACAGTTTACACATATTTTTAAGACTCCTTTCCAGCCTTTATCTTTAGCTGAGTTTTGTGTACCAACTTTTAGTGGAATCTACTTTGTAAACTTAATTCCCATCCAAATATTAATTAACCTTGGATCTTTACTGAGATAAACGATGTATTTAACAGATTTATATATTTTATATGATGATCATTTCATTTAGTTATTTTCTTTCTTCATGTTATTTCTTTTAGATGGAACAAAAGGAAGAGTTACGTAAAAAAGCTGAACATACAGAGAAAATGTTAGACAGAGCCAGTAAATTAGTTAGTGGTTTAGCTGGTGAAAAAACACGATGGGAAGCAAGTGTTGCTGATTTATTATGTAGAATTGAACTACTACCTGGTGATTGTTTATTGGCCACTGCATTTCTATCTTATATGGGTCCATTTTTAAGTGAATATCGTGAGAAATTAATTAATAATTGGCTAGGATTAATTAGAACTGAGAATGTACCTGTCACAGATCCATTCGTCTTTACTGAATTTTTGGCTGACCCAACACAAGTATGTGAAAATACTATTTATTTTTATTACATATTTTTTTCCAAGTCATAGGAAAGTAAATATTCAGGGGTAATTCATATCATAATTGTTTTATGATATATTAGTCAGTTCAATAAAAACCAAAAAGCCACACTTCTTTAAGCCGGAATTCCATAAGTTGGACGTGGCAAAAGCAAGTATTTGTGAGATAGTTCGGTATTTTTTGTTGAAATCATAAATCCATCAATGTTGGACCATCACTGAAAATCTCGAAGCACTGGATAGCCTTTTCACTGTAGTATGGCACTTCTCATCAGTGCGGATGCACGACCCCGTACGCCAGAATGGAACCCTGAAATCCTGGTCTCGCTGACGAACGCTCAAATTTAAGTCACTGAGTTATCATCAGGCGGTGTTATCATCTAACTTCAATCAATAAACGATATTGTTCGACCTCATCTATTGTCTTCGGTAGGTAAACGCCTCATGCACGACACCGTTGAGCTCCGCTGGTCACAGCTGCTTATTAGAACTCCGACAATTCCTTCTCTAACCTAGCCATAATATCTAACACGTGATGAATATCAGTAAACGGTTAAGGAGATTGTTGAGATCCAACGAAATTCGACCATCTCTACAACCCTGGTATAAGTACTTTTTTGATGATAAGCCTTCACTTGAAAGAAACTGCCAAGAATCTTTGAGACCTGGGTTTCTGTTTTGCGTAGTTAGTCAATAGGATACGACTCCCAAACTCAAGTTATCACCGTTTACTCTAATATTCATTGATTTTTTAGACCCATTAAGTTTATTTTAGTTTGTCTTATAAACTAGTATCAACACTTCATGAACTATTTATCTAAATTTGATCTCAGTGCAGTAGTGAATTCAATGAGTCGATACAATACTCATATATTGCAATAAGTACATTCTACTAGTTTACATTAGTACTGAGAATATTGTTTCTATGACTCACAAAATCCTATTGTTTTTATTTTAGTTTATCTCATAACTTTGCAACTTTCTTCTAATTCCAAGTTTACTTATTTGCTGTTTTTTACAAGGTTAGAGAATGGAATATACAAGGATTACCACGTGATACATTTTCTGTTGAAAATGGTGTCATTGTAACACGAGGTAGTAGATGGCCATTAATGGTTGATCCACAAAATCAAGCTTTAAAATGGATTAAATCAATGGAGGGCAAAGATTTACGAATAATTGATTTACAAACACCAGATTATATGCGTATATTAGAAGCTGCTGTACAGTATGGTCAACCAGTTTTATTGAACAATGTTCTTGAAGAATTAGACCAAGCTTTGGATCCGTTATTAACTAAATCACTGATTAAAGTTGGTGGTACATTAATCATGAAATTAGGCGATAAAGAAATTGAGTATAATGATAAATTTAGGTCAGTTATGAGTTTTTTTTCTCTATTTCACTCGTGAATATATTTTTTAATAAAAGTATTTATTATTCTCTATTCACTCAACTCCATTTGTAGACTTTTTTCTAATCGAAAATCTTTTCATATTCATTTTGATTCGTCTGACTGGCGTGATTAAACTATGGTTATCGCCACTCAAATATTGCTCTCGATTTGTTAGTTATTATGTTTTCGGGCAGAGTTTTGGAGGTTTTGTGCTTTTACACATTTGAAATCATCAATCAATCATTGTTAGACCACCATTAGAAACCTGGAAGCACTGGACGGCCATTTCGTCCTAGTATGGGACTCATCGGCAGTGCACATCCACGACTCCTGCACCTCTCAGGATTCGAACGCGGGACCTTCGGTATTGTGCGCGAACGCCTAACCATCGGACCACTGGGCAGGTATCCAACGGTGTTAATGTCTAACTCTGATTGATCTACGGATCTTTGCGCGACCTCACCCATTTGACTTTGGTAGTTACTGCCTACACCCGACAGGGTTGAACTCCATTAGTCACGTCTTCTCAACGAGAACTCCAAGAATTTCCTCACGAAGCTAGTCACTAGTGAGCACTGTTACGATATTTTCGGGCAGAGTTTTGGAGGTTTTGTCTTTCTACACATTTGAAATCATCAATCAATCATTGTTATGTATCTGAATTTAATAAATTATTAAGGTTAAATTTTGTTTCTGCTAACATTTTCAATCTATACACAACAGTCAGTGTGTGCTTATATATTTATACTGATTACCAGGGTTCGATTCCCCTGTAGGGTCATAGACTACCATAACCAAAAAGTCCCAGGCTAGTACGAAACAACTGTTAAGTACTTCTTGGTTTAATCAATAATATAAAAGTAGGGTAATTTCTTAAACACTAAGTTAATTATCTCTTCTATTAAATCAATGATCATGATTAGTTTATGTGCACAGTAGAATGTAATAAACATTATTATAAACTATTTTTTCTACGAAAACGAACTAACATAAATATTTGTGCTTCATTTCTGTAACCTTGAATTCTAGATTTTATATCACCACTAAACTCCCTAATCCTCATTATGCACCGGAAATATGTTCTAAAACGTTAATTGTAAATTTTGCTGTAAGACAACAAGGATTGGAAGCACAGTTACTTGGTATTGTAGTACGTAAAGAACGTCCGGAATTAGAAGAGCAAAAGGATAATTTAGTCATTGGTATTGCAGCTGGTAAACGTAAACTTACAGAATTGGAAGATGAAATTTTAAGGTTGTTAAATGAAGCACAAGGATCTTTGTTAGATGATGAACAACTTGTAAATACACTACAAACATCAAAGATTACATCATCTGTAAGTCATTTTTAGACAGATTTTATTATTTATTGAGAAGATTAATTCACACATTGAATTCATCATCTCTTGCATACTTTCTCTTGATTCATTTAACAAGTACTGTTTTATTTGTTTCACCGGAGCTTAACTATGGATGATCTATAAGAAAAGCGAATTATTTTTGGTTGAAAACACGTAAATCAGATGAAAGTAGATGATATTACTAATGTATTTCTGATTCACTGGAACTGCTAAATAGAAAGAAACTAACTCCATCCGAATAGCTCACGAGAAACGTATCCGTAAAATTAACGATGACCTTTGATATCACATTAAAAAACAGTCGTTTTCTATATAAAGTCTAAATTGGATAATAGTAAAACAGGTAAGTAGAGAAGTTTGAAAAACTCTTCAACAGACCACCCCCACTGAATCACCCAAAGTCGAAGCAACACCTACAGACATTTCTATCAATGTCACATCATCGAAATTTGAAGAAATCTGCATGGTCATCAGACAAATCAAGAATGACAAAGCAGCACAACCAGAAAATACGCACCAACTATGGCACTGAAATCAAACATGGAATCAACTACAAAGATGCGCCACACTCTCTCCAGAAAGATTTGGAAGGAAGAACAAGTTCCAACAGATTGGAAAGAAGGAAACCTCGCCAAGATATCAAAGAAAGGAGAGTTCAGCAAGTGTGAGAGATGCAAAAGCAGCACTCCACTATTAGTACCAACTACAGCCTTCAACAGTGTGATTGAACTGAATGAAAGTTTCAGCAGACACCAAACTTCGAGATCAGTAGACTGGATTCCATAAGGATTGATCAGGTAGCGAGAAATCGTATATGGAGGTAAGCTTGCATATTCATTCCAAGTGATGGATGGTGTCAGACAACAGTGCTTCCCCCCACCCCTTCTCTTTCCTCTGGCTGTCGACTGGACTATAAAGACTGTTACATCTCAATGGCAGCAAGGAATACAGTGGACAGCTCGGATGCATCTAGATGATTTGGGCTTCTCAGATGATGAAGCTTATCTATCCCACACACAACAAAAAATTCAGATGAAGACAGTAAGTGAGTCGGGAGTCTCTTCGGCAGTAGGTCTCAACATACATGAGGAAAGAATCAAGATTCTCTGATTCAACGCAGCATGCACCAACCAAATCACACTTGATGGATGGGCTGTTAAAGATATGGATACGTTTACAAATGTGGACAGGATCATTGATGACTGAGTTTGATCTGATGCAGACGTGAAGACGCTGATTGGTAAAGTAATTGCAGCATCTCTACAAATGGCAACCATCTAAAACTGAAAATAACTATTGATGAACACCAAGGTCAGTGTTTTAATACAAAGGTCGAGATAGTTCTATTTTGTGAAGCGGAAACTTCGAGAACCACGAAAACCGTCTTTTAAAACATACCGGTACTTATATCAGTTGTCTGCTGCTGAGGAAAAAATTAGGAAAAAGACGCTGGAAGTGGATAGAAGACATCAAAGTGGGTTACAAAGTAAGTTTAGACGAATAGAAAATGAAAGATTATTGAATATATTGCGCTGGAGGTTGGATTCGATTATCAAAAGCACTTGAGAACGACTCGAAAGGAGATCACGGTGCAGAACTATTCATGAGGACGCCAGTCGGTGGCCTATGCTTCATTAGGAGAAACGCGTAAACAAGCATACATCTTTATCCTTTTCTACTGTTGCAATTTTCAATTTTATTTTTACAATATGTCCACCCTCACTTTATTCTCTCTAACTATTCACTACAAATATGTTATGCCTTGAAGATTAACTAGTCCATCAGCATGGTCATTGTTTATTCACTCAGCTTGAACACTTGGTAAATCTTGGTAAATAGACGTTTATAAGGAATCTAAAATCTTTATTAGTTTTTATTTTCATCTAACTGGATTAGTTATTTTAATATTCACTGTGAATGGGCGATTTTCATTAAATATCAGAATGTAACTACCGATTATTTATTATATAGTGTATAACTTCAGATCCGAAATGTTGTATTCTGTTTCAAAGTATTTTCTGATATGTTAATTGTATTATGTTTACTTTCTACCTTGTCCGTTATTTATCTCATTTCAAATATTTTTCATCATTAGGAAGTAAGTGAACAATTAAGTATAGCTGAAAAAACTGAAATACAAATTGACAAAGCTCGTGAAGGTTATCGACCATCAGCACAACGTTCATCAATTCTATTCTTTGTATTGAATGATATGAGTCGAATCGATCCCATGTATCAATTTTCTTTAGAAGCATACATTGATTTGTTCATTTTAAGTATTGATAAAAGTCCAAAATCAACAAAATTAGATGATCGTATAACAAATTTAAATGACTATCATACTTATGCTGCATATCGTTATACATGTCGTGGTTTATTTGAACGACATAAACTACTATTCTCATTTCATATTTGTTTAAAAATACTTGAATCAGCTGGTAAAGTTAATGAAGATGAATATAATTTCTTTCTACGTGGCGGTGTTGTATTAGATCGTGAAAATCAATTTGATAATCCATGCTCAGGCTGGTGTACGGAACAATGTTGGGATAATATTGCAGAATTAGATAAATTAAGTAGTTTTCATGGTGTTGTTGCATCATTTGAACAATATTCAAGAGATTGGAATTTATGGTATACATCAGCTGAACCAGAAAAAAGTTCTTTACCAGGTGAATGGGATAATATATTGAATGAATTTCAACGTATGCTTATTGTACGCTCATTACGACCAGATCGTGTATCATTTTGTGCAACAAGTTTCATTATAAATAATTTAGGTAGTCGATTTGTTGAACCACCGGTTTTAGATATGAAACAAGTAGTTGATGATAGTTCGAATAGAACACCATTAATATTTGTATTATCACCAGGTGTTGATCCGACAGCTGGTCTCCTTCAATTAGCTGATAATTGTGGAATGAGCAAGAAATTTCATGCTCTATCATTAGGTCAAGGTCAAGCACCGATTGCCACACGATTGATTAAAGAGGGTATGCGTGAAGGATATTGGATATTTCTTGCTAATTGTCATCTTTCATTATCATGGATGCCAGCATTGGATAAGATTGTAGGACAATTAGGTATGGAAGAAATACATACTGATTTCCGTTTGTGGCTTTCATCAGACCCGAGTCCATCTTTCCCTATTTCAATTCTACAAGCTGGTATTAAAATGACTACGGAACCACCAAAAGGTTTACGTTCAAATATGAAACGACTTTATCATTTAATCAAGGTAAGTTATACTAATTTGAAAATAAATTTTAATTCATGTTAATTTTTCTACAGTTTATATTGATTAATTATTTGACTTAATTTAGTTTGTTCGTGTGCATTTGTTTATAGCCCTAAATGATGCAAGTTTATCTCGTTGAGAGAACGTCAGTTACATTAAGACTATATGGTTAAGTCTCTCTAACAATTTAATTATTAATTTCACTTACTTTGCATAAAACATAGTCGTAAATATCAAAACCAAATATCACGGCTCTGTTATCGTCGTTTCTGTCTTATGGTGAGAAATAAGAAATTGTAATGGATATGTTTAATCGTTTCTAAAAATCAACCAGTGATAAGGTGGCTAAAAATTCATGTGGAACTAAAAAATTTATTATTTTATCGTACGTGAATTCAACACACAAATACTGTATTTTTCTGAAGTGATTTCATTGCTTAGCCGTATAGAACTTATGTCATATCTAAGTAGTGAACATTTTTAAATGTAAAATATTTGAAATAAACCAGATTTTCGACATCATTCATCTATTAGTTATTTAGAAGGGTTTGAATCTGCCCGTCGTTAGTATTTAGGACTATACAGTTAAGCAGTCTGTTTCCAAACATGTAAATAAGATGAAATGCGCGTCCTGGCTTCCACTCCTAACTATACTATCCATTTATGCTTAGAAATATTTCATCAGCTTTCTACAGAGTAAGATAGTTGTTATTAATTTAATTCTCCATTCAATTATTCTTGGAATATTTTATTTGTTGAACTGATTTATCATATACACGTATGCTTGCTTTACAGGAAGATCAATTTTCTTTATGTCAAAAACCAGAGAAATATAAGAAACTTCTATTTTCATTGTGCTATTTTCACTCGGTACTGATAGAACGCAAAAAATTCTTAATGCTTGGTTGGAATATTCCATATGAATTTAATGATTCGGATTTTGAAGTATCTGAACATTTGTTAACAAATTATCTAGAACAATATCAAGAAACTCCATGGGATGCATTACGTTATTTAATTGCTGATATTAATTACGGTGGTCATGTCACCGATGATTGGGATCGTCGTTTATTAAATACATATATTAGTGGTTATTTTAAAGATGAAGTATTGAAAGAACCATTTTATAAACTTTCATCATTACCATATTATTATATACCAAGAGATGGTACATTAAATGCTTATCGTGAATTTGTTTCACTTCTACCACAAATTGATCATCCAGAAGCATTCGGTCAACATCCTAATGCAGATATTACATCACAAATTCAAGAGACACGAGTCCTTCTAGACACGTTGCTTTCATTACAACCTCAAGTAAGGAAATTTTTCTGATTTTTCTAATGATATGATTTCGCTACAAATTATTTTTATCATAATGTAAAAGAGATTTACAACTCTTACTTCATATGCATAGTTCAGGTTGGAAATATTTGATGGCCGATGATCGCAAGGTAAAGTAGGATTGGCATTCATTGCTTGTGAATTGTTTCTGAACGCCGAAGAGATAATCACTTTATAACTGCTACATATTGTTTACTATTAAGTATGGGTTTTGAGGAACGTGACAACAGTATTCTAAAACGACTCTCTCAATCCCTGCTGTTATCATATTTAATTTCGTAAATATTTGACACGAGATTTCTTCATGTTGACTGTTGCATTTTTGGGGAAAAGAAAATGATTTTTTAATTTAGCCATTCATGTATCCATATTTGATAATGTATCACAAGGTTTATATGGTTTCATACACTTTAATCGCAGCAATTTATTTATACTGTATGAAATACATTGGACTTTTATGTGATTTACGTCAGTGATACTATGGTTCTCTCTGAATTAGGTATATTCGTTAAATTAAAAATAACCGGTGAATTTTTAGATAATAATAATTTCATAAGTACTGTGCGGTCCAAATAGACTAAAACAATGGCGCACAGCTGATTTGAGCGTAGAAGCAAAAGCCAATGCATTTTCATAAACGTTTTAATTTAACTACTACATAGATTATCACCTAATTCAACAGTTGATAGATATGTCACAAGAACTATGTTTATCTAAATTACTTTTCCTTTTAACATAATCGAGGTTTTCAGGAACCATTTATACCATGAATGGCTGTTCAATAGACGACACTTCTGCATGAGGTAAAAGTTTACTATATTTTTTGGTATTCAATCATTCTGTGTATAAATTAAATTTTAGGTATCACAAGGAGCAGGTGTTTCACGTGAAGAAAAAGTGCTTGACTTAATTGATAATCTACAAAAACAATTGCCCGAAGATATTGATTTTGAAGGCACTGTGAAATTATTTGCAACAAATCATTCACCATTAGTGGTCGTTCTACTGCAAGAAATACAACGTTACAATAATCTTCTTGTTTTAATACGCAATCAGTTATCCGATTTGAGTAAGGGCATTCAAGGCTTGGTTGTTATGTCATCAGAACTTGAACAAGTATTTATCTCAATTTTTGACGGACATGTTCCAGAACAATGGGGTAAAGTAAGTTTACAAATTACAAGATTTTTTGGCATCTGATACTGTGGTCAGTTAGTAATATCTATCGTGATTTCTCAAAAACACCTCATTTTACTAGTAAATAAATGATTATTATAGAATATCTACTGGATTCCGATCCATATCCCTGACATTGATCACGTTAGTAATCATCCGTGAGCACTCTTTACAAGTTCCAAATCATGATGGAAATTCCCTGGGAACCTGTGACTTACTTATGCCTGCTACCCTTTGTAGGGCATAGGCCACCAAACAGCATTCTCCAACCAACTCTATCATGACCTTCCCTTCAAGTCCTACCCAATCTCTATTCAGTATTTTTATGACTGTCTCCAGCTCTCGGTGCAATGTGTTCTTTGGTCCTGCACTTTACCTCCGGCCTTGAGGACCCCAGCTTAGGGCCTGCCTCGTGATACATTTAGGTGATTTCCACAATGAGTGTCCTATCCACCTCCAGCGTCTTTTTCCTAATTTCTTCCTCAGCAGCAATCTGGTTTGTTTTAGCCCACAGTCGGTTGTCCCTGATAGTTAGTGCCTGACCAACAGATCCGAAGTATCTTGCATAGAAAACTATTCATATGCACCGGTATAGTTTTGATTATGGCTTTTGTAGTTCTCAAAGTTTCCGCTTCATACAATGGAACTATCTCTACGTTTGCATTAAAACGCTGACCTCGGTGTTTATCAATAGTTGTTTTGAGCTCGAGATAGTTGCCATTAGTAGAGATGCTAACTTTACTGTGCCTATCCACGTCTTCATGCCTGCATCAGATCCAACTTGCTCATCAATGATCCTGTCCACATTTGTAAACGTATCCACATCTTCAAAAGCCAATCCATCAAGTGTGGTTTATTTGATGTATGGTGCGTTTTATCAGAGGGTATTGATTTTTCCCTTTGCAGAGACCGTTGACACACTGACTGTCTTCAACTGAGTTTGTTGTTGAGTGTAGGATAGAACGGCTAGATTATCTGCGAAGTCCAGCCGCCCATCTGGGGTAACTGCCGGTCTCAGGCCGGGATAAAGGAGGAGGTTTGGGCATGGCTTTATTGACCCCATACCGTAGAAAACCAACTCGCTAAAAAGCTAACCAAAAATGCACTTAGTGACTTACTTGGATATATTTGTTTTCAATATCGATAAATTGACATCATAATGTTGTGTACAAAAAACTATCTGATCATTTATTAATGCAAAACTAGAACCTATTTATTATCTTATCACTAAGATAAATGCTTAGTTATTCTATTGTAACAGTGAATATTATGAAAATCAACTTTTACAAAGAATTATTGTTTATTCTTTGTTGTATCAAACGTTTGAATTCTATCATATTTTTCTATTCGTTCGCTTTTAGATATCGCATAAACTATTGTTATTGTACTTTATTTAAGTTATTGTTACCTAATTATGGACCATTTTTTAGTTTTTTTTACATATGCATATATTATAGTTTTCTATTCAGATTGCCATGTAGTCATGAATTCATTCTACATTACTTTATGACTTTTGAGTCATAATGTTAATAGCAGAATAGAGATTTTATCTACTTACCATGTTTTCTTAATGGACAAAAAGAAAGTTGTACTCCTGGCACAATAGGTGATGTTTTGGTCCCAGCTCAATGTTATCGTTATCAGTCAGTGTGTTTAATTAATCCAAGCAAAAGACTTTAGTCTACATACAGGTTAAGTTTATTAGAGGTAGAAAAATATAATTCAGATTCTGACTGACGACATTTATTAGGTGATTTCAATTTCATGTTAATCATGACATATCTATCTACACAGAGACATTTGTTTAGCGTTGCACTCCTTAAAATGCAGTTCCACATTATACTTTTTGTTGAACGTTCTAGAAACTTTTAAATCCAAATGCATATGACAAATGTCTTGTAATCCAAAACGAACAAATATGGACACTAGTACTATAGGTACATATCGAAAAATTAGTTACACTATACTACTCAGTTCTCAATTTAAATCCAGTCTACAACTATCAGTCTAATACTACACGACAAAAAGATTTTAAATTTAATCGTTGTTATTTCTCATGCTACATTTGACATCATTTTCTGTTCTTTTAAAAAAATTCTATTTTAGACATATTCCTCACTAAAACCTTTAGGTTCATGGGCAAGAGATTTAGCAGCACGTGTTGAACTATTCGCTAAATGGGCTAGTACAACACATCCACCCAAATTATTTTGGATTGGTGCTTTTACTTTTCCAACAGGTTTTCTTACAGCAGTTCTACAAACAGCAGCAAGAAAAATTAATGCTTCTGTAGATAGTTTGAGTTGGGAATTTAATGTACTTGCTACAAGTGATCCAAACGTTTTGGTTGCTCCAAAAGATGGTGTCTACATCAGTAATCTATATTTACAAGGAGCTGGATGGGATAGAAAAAATGCTTATTTAATTGAAGCTGCACCAATGGAATTAGTTTGCCCAATGCCTGGTATACATTTTAAACCAGTAGAAAATAAAAAGAAATCACTTAAAAGTAAAATACATATTTATTTTGATTAATTTATGTTCAATAATTTAAATTTAGTTCATGATCTAATTATTGATTTATTTAATTGACGCGAATTGTACGTACATCAGTTCAAGTAACCATATCATATTGACACAGATATGTAAAATTATCAATTCAAATCCCATTGTAATATAGATGGTAGCAGTAATCGAAAAGACTAGGGACCGAAGACATGATTAGAAAAGTAAATTCCAGTCGAATAAATTTAAAAGGAGGAAAAAGGTCATGGGGAATTCAGAAGATTCGAGTTTGAAATAAGACAACTCCGCTGCAAAGAATCTTGAGACATATCATTAAAAGTTTCTAACCATCGGTAACTATTGTCTCGTGGGACCCAATTTAATGCAAAATAGGAGCTAATTACTAATTCGTGAGCTCGGCTTCAAGCTACACTTTATACGAAATGCCTCGCAGACTAACACCATCATTTATTTTCATTCGAACTTTTAAGACTGGTGACCGATAGGAATCATTATAACGCATTCACTGAAGCTGTCTATCAAGTTGACTAAGCTGAATTCTACTAGCTGAAACACTTATCCCATGAGGCTCAGTTAAGATAAGCTCTTTAGACAGACACTTTCTTGGTAGGTGAAGTCCTATTCCTTGATGACGATTGGCTATTAAATAAGTGTATTATTATTATTGTTATTAATAAACACACTACGCAATGTAACCAACCTACTTATTGATAAAAAGCTCACACTGATTACTGTTTTATTTTTCTTTTTTTTCTTCCAGATATTTATGTAGCTCCATGTTACTATTATCCAAATCGAACTGGTACATCAGACAGACCTTCATTTATGATTGGAGTGGAATTAAAAACCGGTGAAAAACCACCTGAACATTGGACTAAGCGAAGTACTGCACTTCTGATGAACTTAGATGTCTGATTTCAAAAATAATAATCACGATAGATTGTATCTATGATTTACTTAATGCTTTTTTATATGCTATTTATATTTATATTGTTGAAATAATTGATAAGAATTAATCGGAGCAGTGTTATTAAATATAACTTTAATTATGTCCGAAAAAGTTACCTCATTGAGAGTGGTTTCCATTATTTTAGTCGAATGCTTAATTATTGCTTTGATGATGAGTATAGGATTCACGATGAGTAATTGTTAATATTGTTGGGTAGCTAGTTGAACACACTTGTGTCTCAATATGTTGATATTCGAACTGTAATTCTACTTTGGCACTGACTGTTGCCAATGTCGCTGTTCATTAAGTCACTTACCGTTCTAGGTTGGAATGGACTATGTATTCGATTTCCAATGTGTGAAGTTTATAGTCTTCATAGTTTTTTATATTTATGGACTTTTTTTAACTAAACCACCATTGAAAACTAGGCAGAATCGGATAGCTGTTGCATTTTAGAACTGACTACTCAGTGCTAATGATATTGGATGATGGTCACACAACCATGCTAATAGATTGTAGTTAAAAAGGTAAACCATTAGATGGTGTTGTTGCTAGATAGAAAGGCTTTCAATTTGATCCCTGATAGCGTAATGGATGAGCAATCCTAAGAAGGTTCAAAGTCAGAAAGTGACCTAAAATCATAAATTTAACAAGCCTCCATAGGGAAAACCCACATATTTTTGAATTGTTTATTCTTGAATGTCAGGTAACCCCTGATAGTCTAGAAAGACAAAAGCTCTTCAACCAGACTACCTAATTCGAAGAACCCAACAACACCAAGAACTAGAAACTCTTAGCAAGTAGTATGTTACACACAAACGTTATAAACCATCGAAACTTATTCTTGAACTTTAATAATAGTTATTTTATTATTCATTTTAACTCACATTAATACAAAGGGGTACCAAAATATATATGCGCTACACAAATATTCCTGGGTTTCCAGATTGAAGCAAGCGGTTTCTTAGAGGACGACCGTGTGAGCCTTTGACCTAACAAACAATGAAGTGGAGCAACTCAAGAGATGCAGTCCTATGGTAGCCGGTGACCAGGGATAGGTTCATACGACATTAGGATCTTGGAGCTTATATGAACTACCAGTTTGAAATCAGGGTTTTCCAACTCCCCTAGGTAGATCATGCGTACCACTGTTCCCTTTAAGACGCTGAACATTCACTGTTCGTCCGTTCGATTTCGCAAACAACAACCGGTCATGAGAAGGCAATGAGTAGGACTTGCCTAGCAATTGCCATGTGAGACCGTTTTGAGAGGGAGAGCGGACTCAACCTACTCTTGGCCGTACCAGGGCGTTTGGGCGCAATAATGGTAGATGAACAGGGATTCGAAACAAAACTTGCTACCTCTAACTCCTGGGTGTAATTATATCGTAGTTGATAACCAGTTATTTGATTATAATTCCGCAGTTCAATGTGGAACAAATTTGCATAAAACATATTTTTAAAATTACATTTATCAGGGATGATGAATGTAAAAATAGGATTAAGATAAACCTTAAAAGATTCTAACATCAGCTACTTCCTTAAAATAAAATGATTCTTGACAATGATTCTTGAGCAACCAAAAGGATTCTCCAGAATTTTTTTAATGATCGTCTGTAACCTGTTTATAACATAGGATCGAGCTAATGACTAAGATCAAATAATTTTGCGTTTTACTTCAGCATTTTCAACGAAGTAGGTAATTTACCGAATCTTTTCTGATAAGATTAATTTATTTAACAATACCCACACTACAAATCTACTTTTTAGACATTGTCACCGTCACAATCAAATGTAAATGAAACTTATAACTTCTGATCAATAATAATAAACACTGCGTACATTTAGATTACCGCTGCTGCTGTGGGATTTGAATTGACAATTCGATCTCTGTGTGCTGTGGTATGGCAACTTGAACTGATGTACATACGTACAAAGTTCTGTGTTGTAGCTGACTGACTGAATGAGTTGTATACATTTACAATAGGCAAGTTATATTACAACTATACATTTTAGAAACAGTTTATTGAGTAAGGTTTGATTTGGTTGCGACAAACCAATGTTCATTTTTACCTACAAATTACAAAATGAAACGAAAGCCAGAAAAGAAATAAACAGTAATCAGTAAAGGAACTAATCAGCAGATATTACGTAAAACCAAAATTGAATGTTATATAATGAGCCAGATATTCTATACACATTCTATAGCACACATAAACCGGACCTTTAGACATGTTTCCGACCGTATGTAGCAAAACAGTTGAAAACAGTGATTGCTGATGAAAACTTTGAATACATTTAGAATACTAGATGATTGGGAACCAGTGTGTCTCGTTTGGAATGTCACCAGTACACTGACTTTTCTTTTATCGTTCAGGTACAAAATGTAGCTAGGTGTTCATAATAACCGTGAAAAATGTGACCATTAGATCAATAGGTGTAGTCATTTGTATGACTTAATTAACAGATATGTAAGTGATGGTTATGTAGTAACCTGACATTACACGAAGAAAGATTCGTTCGGTTTGAAATTCGATCACTGAGGACTTTGAAAGTTCAATAGCTAAATACAACTATGCACGGTTCTACTTAGTTGAAGATTTGAACAGAAGGAAACCTTAGATGATTAGACCAAAGGCTGATATTAATCTATGAAGTCATTGACTGTGTCTGAATAAGACGAATTGCAGGTGTTTAGGCTAAGATTCCAAGGGTCAATGACTCGTAGCTTGACATAGTAATGCCAGGCGAGATATCCGCTCGTTAACCAAAGGACGAGTGTACTGTGCAGCAGTTCACTCCGTCCTACTATACGGGTGCGGAACATGGCCGTTAAGAGTAGAAGACTTCCGTAGGTTACTAGTTTTCGATCATAGGTGTCTCCGAAGCATTGCTCGTGTATCCTGGGACAACCGAGTAAACAATACTGTCGTTAGGAAACGAGTTCTAGGTAGGGATGACAAATCAATAGATGAAGTAGTGAAACTTCAACAGTTGAGGTGGTTGGGACATGTGTTACGTATGCCAACTGCCGCGACGAGCTATGTTTTGTGGTGTAGGAGTGGGTTGGAAGAAAGCTAGGGGCGGCCAAACCAAAACATGGCACAAACCCATCAAGTCGCTGAAAATTCGACTGAGTCATGTTGGTAGATGTAGGCTACCTGGTTGGGGTCCTCGAGACGAAAGTCACCAATGGTCAAAGACCTTGAACGACATGGCTCAGAATCGTTTGCAATGGCGCAGGTGCATCCACTCTTTGTGTTCTCTCTAATTCCAACCTTCTGAATCCTCATCATCTCCATCTTTCTCCTTCTAAATTTGTCTCACTGAATTATACTTCTTGAATCATATATTCGCTCCCTAATCTTCTCCATTACTGCTAATACTTCTACTATCGCTATCACTCTTGGATTTGCACTGACAATCGCGCCTCTGTGCTGATGTGGTATGGCAACCTGAACTGATGTTCTTACGTACGAATCTGTCTGTCTGTCTGTCTGAACAATAAAGTAATACAACAGCCTGGCAATCACGTACATGCTTGTGTAATACACAATAAACTGTATATTATAGACAGACTGAACACTATGTGGCTTCCCAGATTTATTGATTGAATATTTGAGTAATGAAACCAAAAAGTCAAAACCTCTCAAAGTGAGAAAAAAAATAATGTCACGAAGGTAGATAAACTTAATGAAGAAATAGAACAACTTATACACACATTCAAAAGGTTAGCTTACCTAGTCGTAAGATACCTAGACCAGTGGCTTCATCAAATCTGTCAAATGCTGCTTGTATATTTTCCGGTGACATTTCAGACTTATTGTCCTTCTTTAAAAGGTTAACGTCATTAAGTACAACACCTCTAGTGGAGCATGTTCTTAAAGCTTCATATCGATCTTTAAAATTTGAAGTAAGCATAATTAGGTCCAAAACACTTTCCATAAGTTGACCAGATCTCTGATCAGATCTTTTCAAAGAATCAGTGAAATTTTTAGGGAAAATAACCGGTAGAAATTGTGAAGATGATTCTAAGCACGAAAGAAGGTAGTTTCGTTCTGAATTATTCAGTTTAGTTTGAATCGCTTCCAGGCTGTTTTCATCACTCGACACGCTATTATCGGGACAATTTACAGAACTTGTAGGGAAAAATATTCGACTTGCAAGTTCCGAAGCTTGTAAAGCATAAGCTAAAAAAGTAATAACAAGTTTTTCTAAGAGTTGAATCTATTAAACATCAATTCAGTGGAATCATGACTTAATGTTGAAAAAAACAAATTTTAATCTCTTGTTCAGAGTCGAATCACGCAAAAATGCACTCCAAATTGAATAGCCGAGTAGTAGCACTAACCTTTACTAGTAAAATGTAAGTAAAGTATGTTAAGTTGTACTTCGTTATGTTACACGAGAATAAATTAGGAAATCAGGTATTTAACGTTTAATTAAAAATTATGTTTGCTTTGACAACTTATCAATTACGAAGTTTACATTCAATTTGTGAAGCAAGCTAATAAGTAATAAAACAATTATCATGAATTAAGCAGAAAAAGAAACTAGTTCATGAACGTACAAGAGCCACCGCTGATTTATAGCTTAAAAATGTATTGTTGGATAAATATAGTATAAAAAATTCATAAAAATTATACTTCATGGGGTAACTATCGATAATAAGTGACAAAATAGACGGTTTGAGAAATTCTGATAATAATCAGATATGGACACCTTCATATAGCCTGAACAGAGAGCATGACTATAATCATCTCACTGACAGTCAGTACAAAGTTAGATTGAAGCCGAACAGAAATGCATGTTAATTAAATACATACAGTTAACACTGAAACAGATATCACATAGGCAGTTGTTATATAACATATAATAATTGGATGATTTATATATAACCCACCTCCATGAACTAATAAAGTGAGTTCTTTGGCCAATGCCTTTTGAACTATACGACGATCAGGATGATTCTATATTGTAAAACAAAAATGTAAAGAAGACAAATAGTTAAATGGTTGTGAATAGTAAAACTTTCGCTAGATACTGACAGATGAAATTAAAAATTTGACTAATCTAAATTTTGAACTCAACTTTAAGTGATCCTATTTGTATGAGTGCTAGTGATGTTATCTGACTACACAAACCAAAATAGGTACCTACCTAGCCACCTACTGGCCAAAAGCTCAAGACATATCGGAATATCTTAGTGATTATCGAAACATTATTGGATGAAATGTAAGAGTTTCTGTCAGCTACAACATAGAACTTCGTACTTACGTACATCAGTTCAAGTTGTCATACCATAATAGCACAGAGAGATCGAATCATCAATTCAAACCTCAAAGTAAAGGTAGTAGAAATATGAGCAGTAGTGGAGAAGATTGGGGTTCGAAGATATGATTCCAGAAATATAATCCAGTGAAATAGATTTAGAAAGTGAAAAAAAGTCATGCAAAATTCAGATTAAAATTTAAAATGGATACATTGCAAACGATTTTGAACTATGTCGCTCGAGGTATCTAACTATAAGTTACTATTGTCTCATTGACCTTAACCAGGTATGGCCCCTACCAATATGGCTCAATCCAATTGACTTTATGGATTTGTGCCATGTTTTGGTTTGGCCGCCCCTAGCTTTCTTCCAGCCTACCCCTACATCAAAAAAACCGCCCATTGAAGCAGTCGGCGGTTGGGTATACGTGACACGTCCCAACCACCTCAACTGGTGAATATTCACTAGTGTCTAACAAAATATAAGTGTTAACTACTCTTGGTAGATCCACCAAATGATTTAACACATGACCCACTGGCAGACTATACTCACTGCGGAGCCTATGTCAATAATTTGATCATGTGAGCAATTACCAAAGCCAGATTGTATGATTCCATATCGTTAATCAAACACTAGTGGATTCTTTACTTTAACAACACAAAATTCGATCAAATCATTAATTCCCGATTCATAACAATAATACCAAGCATTTAGTCTGACGTGTAGGATTATTACTTTTGTGTTTTATGAATAGTTGCTTACTTACTTACGCCTGTTACGCCCAATCGAGCATAGGCCGCCGACCAGTTTTCTCCAACCTACTCTGATCTGGACTTCCGTTTCCTCTTCTGTCCAATTTTTGTTCATTCTTCTCCTGTCTGTCTGCATTTCTCAGAATAATTTTTTCTTTGGCCTTCCTCGTCTCTTTCGAACTTGAGGGTCCCAAGTGAGGGCTTGTCTTGTGACGCAGTTCGGTGCCTTCCGTAATGTGTATCCCACCCACCTCCAGTGCTTCTTCCTTATCTCCTACTCCAATTGAATCTGGTTTGTTCTTTACCATAGTACGCAGTTGGTGATAGTGTCTGTGCAACAGATCTGAAGTATTTTGCGTAGACAACTGTTAATAAATACTTGTATCTTCTGGATGATGGCCTTGATAGTTCTCCAAGTTTCCACCACATACAGTAAAACCATCTTGACATTTGTATTGAAAATTCTGACTTTGGTGTTGGTTGATAGTTGTTCAGTTATAAAAATACAGCCCTTGCTTTGCCGATCCGCGCCTTAACATCTGCATCAGATCCACTTTGCTCATCAATGATGCTGCCTAAATATGTAAAGGTTTGTAGGTCTTTCAAGGCATTCCCATCAAGAGTGATGAATAGTTGATTAATGCTGATTTAAAAAAAGTAGTCTCTCAACTTGAGAAACGAAAGTTTAAATTGTTGACTTCAAAACACTTTCGAAAACAAGTAATAATTTCTTTGAATAGTAGAACAAATAACAGCTCACTTTATGATTAGTTAACAACTGATTTATCTCGTCGGATCCAAAGAATGTTAACTGACGAACTAATTTATCTGATATGATACTATCCGGCAAATTTAAAATCTTTTGGTAGAAATTGTAAGGTTTTAATTTTTCACCCATTAACCATATGGAGTCCATTCCACATTCTGAATTAGAAACGGATTTGCCCAATTTCTGACCATCGGGAGTAGTTAACAGAGGAACGGTCAAGCCTAATCAATAAAATAATATATTTTGTTAGTTCAAATTTTCTGAAATAGATCAATCTGCATGGTTGTCATAAATCTTAACTAACGATGCTATAAAAACCAAAAAATAGATTGGTCGTAGCTTCGGCTGAAGAAGTTGAAGTCATAGTCGAATTTGTACCAAAGGTATATAATATATCATATGCTCCACTAAACAAATCACATAAACTTAGAGTTTAATAAAGTTCACACTTCACTTCTTCACACTTTCCCTGACACCTGTTACCCCCAATGGAGGATAGGCCGCAGACCGGAATTTTCCAACCTACTCTGTCCTGGGCCTTCCTTTATAGTTTTGTCCAATTGTTACCCATTATTTTTATGTCTGTCTCCATTTCTCGGCGTGATGTGTTCCTTGGTCTTGAGGATTCCAGGAGAGCTTGTCTTGTGACGCAGTTGGGTGCTTCCCTCAATGTGCGTCATATACACTTCTAGGGCTGCTTCCTGATTTCTTCCTCAGCTGGAATCTGGTTTGTTCTCTTCCACAGCGAATTCCAAGTATTGTACGTAGAGAACTATCAATAAACACTTGTGAGTTCGTGATTCTCCAAGTTTCCGCTCCAAACAGTAAAACTGTTTCGACGGTTGTATTGGAAATTCTGACTTTAGTGTTGGTTGATAGTTATCTTGAGTTCCAGATGTTTTTTAATTGTAGAAATGCAGTTCTTGCTTTGCCAACCAGTGCCTTCTGCTAAATTTCCCTTGTACCTAAATTCAGCCTAGTTTTTATCACATCATTTTCGTATTAAACCAAGCAAAATAATTTGAGAACCTTCGTTTGAGTTTGAACGAATGGTTTCATAATAAGTGAGTCAAGTGCATAGAAGACGTTAAAGACGAAATAATAACTGTAAAGGCTTAGTATCTGAGGTGATGATAACCATTACATAAGTGGACTAGCTTACTATAATGGATAAAATACAAACTGATGGTAGGATGCCTGACCGAAGCTGTTACCTTGACGTGGTGGCTTGCCTGTCGTCATGACCCAACCGAGCTATATTGGCTGGAACTTATGTTCCTGAAGGTTCTACCATGCCAGGCTGGTCGATTGGAGAGCGATGGGACTAAAAGCAGCTACTCAAGGTCTGAGGACGAAGTCGTACTGCTGACTGCAGAGGGGTGTGACAGCAGTAAGGTGTTTCCCCCGGACAACCAGCATCTGTATCGATGGTGCCTTCTCACAAGGAAGGAAGACTTAGAAAAGGTCGACCCTAAAAATGTCACACCTCACCCTACCTCACGTATTTTCGTCTCCGGCGGTACGGGTGCCCACTACGGGCTTTCAAGAGCGGAGCTAACACTCAAAAAACTTCTCATAAAAAGGCCGTGCGTGACCGGCCTCAAGCAGTTGTTCCTTGGGCTCTGCGGTCACGCTCCCAGGTCTCCAAGATCAACACTAATCTATCTTCCTTTTCAGGTCCCTCAAGAAACAACCTTCCACGGAGTGGACAGCCGGGAAGTGACAACCGCCACACCCCCTAATACCTCTCTTATCTCCACAACTAACTCTTCTCACATTCATTTATCACAGTCCACAGCTAATGCAAACGAAGGAAGTTCGGGAAACGTCGTTCCTGGTATCCTTAAACCCCGTTCTAGACTACATGTTGGAGCATTTAATGTTCGGACATTGTGTCGAATAGGGCAACAGGCTTCATTGGCTAGGACATTAGAATCTAGCTCAATCGATGTGTGCTGCGTCTCGGAAACGCGCATACAGGATCCGAGTAGCATCATTCACTTGACCTCACCATGTCAAGATAAAGAAGCAACTCGATTTACTCTTCGTGTATCCGGTAGCACTGATGCTGCTTCCCGGGGTCTCGCTGGTGTAGGTATAGCATTGAGTCGTAGGGCAGAACAATCTCTCCTTGACTGGATCCCTGTAGATAGTCGCTTGTGCGCTGTCCGACAGTAAGGATTTGAAAAGATAGGGACACGTCATTGCCTCTTCGTCGTATCTGCCTATGCCCCCAATGACTGCAGTTCAGACGAGGTGAAAGATGAGTTTTACAGAAAGCTTTCGAACCTCCTCCAAAAAGCTAGGCGCTCTGATATAGTAATAATGGCTGGTGACTTTAATGCTCCAGTAGGTAGACTAGGTGAGCAGGAGACACCTAGGTGGATGTTATGGTGTCGCGGCTCAGAGAACAGACAATGGTGACCGTCTGTTGCAACTATGCTCAGACAACCGCCTATTCTTAGCAAACACTAACTTTAGGCATAAGGAAAAGCATCTGTTGACCTGGCGACCTCCAAAGTCGTCTCAACGTTGGACGCAACTAGATCACATCGCCATCAGCCACCGATGGAGGGGTTCGATAGAGGACTGTCGCTCGTTGTGGGGCACATGTTCAGATTCAGATCATGCCCTAGTGCGAGCTCGTATTTGTTTGAAGCTTACTGGGCGTAGGAAAGACACCGTAAGAAAGCCTCTTAGGGTTTTACTTAATGATAATAAGGCGAAAAATATATTTCAGGAACAACTAGAAAGACAGTTAGGCGACCATTCAAGCGATTCGCATCCGGAGGCAGGATGGAATGATATCAAAAAGGCTGTGGAAACAGCAGTGATATCTGCTAGTAAGGTTGACCATAAGGCTAGAATGAAGCCGTGGATTTCAGTAGCATCCACCGATCTTATGGATGCTCGAAAGCTCATCCCGTCTGGCTCTGAGGACGATGAGGAGCGGAGTCAGCTCAGACGTAGGCTGATAAAAAGCCTTCAGAATGATCGAGAACAGTGGTGGGTGGCGATAGACAACAACAGACAATTGTATCGACTTATCAAGGAAACCGGCATTAGGAACCCAAACGTGGGTGGGACTATTTCGGAAAAGGATGGTCTTAGGATCCATTTTCAATCCAGGAGACTGGACCGATGGGCAGAACATTTCAGGGATGAGTTCAACTGGCCTCGAGCCACTTTTCAGTTGCCCACGATCTCCAGTCATCATGAATGGCAAATCGACGTAAGTCCCCCTAGTCTTTATGAAGTTGAGAAAGCGTTAAAAAATCTAACGGGAGGGCGAGCCGCAGGTCCTGATAGACTGACTCCTGAGATGTTTAAGGATGGCGGTCCAGTTTTAACTGTTAGACTGACCGAGATCCTAGGTAGAATCTGGGAACTGGACGTAATCCCATCTGACTGGTCTCAGTCGCTAATTGTTCCAATCTACAAGAAAGGACAAAAGTCCTCTTGTGACAATCACAGAGGAATAAGTCTAACTAATATGGTATCTAAAATATTGGCATCAATAATACTTAGACGCTTAACGAAAGCTCGTGAAGAGCAGACTAGAGAAAACCAGACTGGTTTTCGACCTGGACGTGGTTGTATAGACCACATCTTCACACTACGACAGGTCCTGGAACACAGACACACATTTAGGCGTCCTTCAATAGTTGTCTTCCTAGGCCTTAAGGCGGCATTTGACTCTGTGGGTCGTGAGGTTCTGTGGCAGTGTCTGTCATTGTAAGGTGTACCAAAGAAGTACATTAACCTTATACGAGCTCTCTACTCAAACACCACTGGTCGAGTGAGAGCTTATAGTGAACTGTCACCGGAATTCTTCACTTCAATTCGTGTCCGTCAGGGATGTTCACTTTCTCCATTCTTGTTTAATTTTATTATAGACATGCTCTTAGATATAACCTTATCCTCGTCTGAATTTTCAGGAGTAAACCTTATACCAGGAGACTCGCTTATTGACTTAGAATATGCCGATGACATAGTTCTAACGCTGACAAAATTCAGTTTTCTAACTACCCTAAGCAACAATGCAAGCATGTTCGGGATGCGGTTTTCCCTCTCGAAATGGAAAATGTTGCTTCAAGATTGGGTTTCATCGGTACGTGAACTAGTAATAGGGAGTGAAGTAGTCGAGCGTGTTGATCGCTTCACTTATCCGGGGAGTCTCATTAGTGTTGGTGGCTTGGTGACTGACGAAATCTCAGCTCAGATACAGAAGGCTCGATTGGCTTTTGCCAACCTGCGTCACTTATGGAGCAGGCGAGATACCCATTTGCTGACTAAAGGACAAGTGTACTGTGCAGTAGTTTGCTCCATCCTACTTTATGGCTGTGAAACATGGCCAGTGAGAGCAGAAGATTTTCGTAGGTTACTGGTTTTCGATCATAGGTGTCTCCAAAGCCTTGCTCGTGTATCCTGGGACAACCGAGTAAGCAATGCTATCGTTAGGAAACGAGTTCTAGGTAAGGATGGCAGATCAATAGATGAAGTATTGAAACTTCATCAGTTGAGATGGTTGGGACATGTGTTACGTATGCCTAACCACCGACTGCCTCATCGAGCTTTGCGATGTAGGAATAGGTTGGAAGAAAGCTAGGGGCTGCAAGATCAAAACATGGAACAAATCCATGAAGTCACTGACAAGTGGAGTGAGTCATGTTGGTAGGTGTCGACTACCTGGTTGAGGCCCGCGAGATGATAGTAATCGAAGGAAAGAGACCCTGAATGACATGGCTCAAAATCGCTTGCAATAGCACAGGTGCATTTACTCTTTGTGTTCTATGAAATCCCAATCTTCTGAGTTTTTCATCACCTTTATCCTATTATTTCAAGTTTATTTCACTAGATTTTACTTCTTGAAACATCGTCAAATCCTAAAATTACCGATTACTGTCAATTCTTCTACCTCTACCACTATGGGATTTAAAGTGACAATTGAATCTCTATGCTAATGTGGTATGGCAACCTGAACTGTTGTACGTACTTACGAGGTTCTATGTTGTTGTTGACTGACTGAGTTGAAGTCCTAAAGATAGTGAAACTTAGTGGCTAGGAGTATTATCAAACATGGCTCCAAACATCATCCAATCGTGATCGTGCTTTTTCTGTTCTTTAAAAAGACAAAATGAACTTGCTTAACTAAAAGAAGTCCCGGTCGCATTTGAAACAAACTGTTTTCCCCCACCATATACTATTCTCTTCCACCGATGGAGAGGCTCGATAGAAGACCGCATCTCGTCCTGGAGCACATGTTTAGACTCGGACTATGGTACATTACGAGCTCGTAATTGTCTTCTGCTTTCTGGACGTAAGAAAGAAAAGAAACTTCTTAGAGCTCTACTTAACGATAAAAAGGCGAAGAATATATTTCGAAGGTAACTAATAAAAGAGCCACGCAGATGATTCCCGACCCCGAATCAGATGAGAATGATATCCAAAGAGATGCGGGAACATCAGTATTATCCGCCAACTAATGAACCTTAAGGTTAGAGAAGATCAGTAGATTTGAGTAGCATCCACCGAACTGATGGGTACTCGGAGACTCATTCCACCTGTCAGTGTAGACTGGCAGAAAGCTTACGCAATGATTGAGAACATTGGTGGGTAACGAGAGCAAGAGATGAAAAAGGCAGTGGCGATAGGTAAGAGTAGACAACGGTTCAGACTTATCAAGGAAACTGATATTAGGAATCCAACTGTTCGAGAGTCTAACTAGAAAAAAAAGACCATTCTTCATCTTCAATCCAGGGAATTGGATAGATAGGCAAAACACTCTAGAGAGCAGGTTAACCAGCCTTCAGCCATATTTCAACTACCCACTATCTCCAATCAATCTCAATGGAAAGTTAATGTCAGTTCGGACTGTGAGTGACGATGAAAAGGTTAATGGCAACCTTAGGCGAAAGACAGCAGCAGACCCTAATGGATTAACCCCTGAGATTGTCAGAGATGGTGATCCAGTTTTAGCACTGAGACTGACTGAGATCTTAGTATCTGGCACATGGACGTTATCCCATCTGACTGGTCGCCATCGCTGATTGTCCCAGTCTACAAAAAAGGACAAAAGTCCTCTGGTGACAGTCATAGAGGAATTAGTTTCACTAATATAGTTTCTAAGATAATTGCTTCAATAATACTCCGACGCCTAACTAGAGCTCGTGAAGAACAGACTAAAGAAAACCATGCTGGTTTCCGATTTAAAACGTGGATGTATCGACCATACATTCACTCTACGTCAGGTCCTACAACATAGACACACACTCAAACCTCCAAAAATAGTAGTATTTCTTGAACATAAGGCGGCATCTGATTCTGTTGATAGTGAGGTTCTGTAGCAGTGTATGTCCGTCGACTACATGCAGTCTTCTGAACACCTTAAGCAACAATGCGAACAAAAATGCAAAATGTTGCTTCAAGATTGGCTTGCATCGCCACCTGAACTAATGGTAGGGAGTGAAGTAGTTGAGCGTGTTGACCGCTTCACCTGTCTTGAGAGTTGTTTGCAATGGAGCAGATACATTTATTCTTTGTCTTCTCTAAAATAGTAAGCTCATAGTACATATATAATTGATTGGAAATAGACTACACCAGTAAGAGTACGGTAGCCACACTAATTTGAACAGAGCTATTACAGTCAAATGAGAAATGCTCTCTGAACAAATCAACAACATAAGGAGAAATTTCACTTACCGAAAACACGCCGGCCAAGTTGGCGATGAATGAGATTTAATCCACAAGTTATGTTGCCGATCTGGTCTTGTCCACCGACCTAGAATGAGTTTTATTTGAATTTCTTGATACATCTACCTGCACGTAACAATTAAGCTTTTCGTGTAGGTATAAAAAGTCTAGTGCTTGTAATATTGGATAGAAAAATTCGCCAAGATCCATAGTATTTCCGCTTTCCATTCGTTTCTTAACGCTGGAAAATGTAATCAAAAAAACGTAACGATACATGAAACGTTATCGTAAAATATTATCCGGAATAACACTGGAAAACTTATTAAGTTGGCGACACTAATTTACGGACATTTGACCGATGCTAAGGTGACTACGAAAATTCAACTTGTTAGAGTCAGAACAAGGGAGGGGAATTAAGATTATGATTCCACGTTAGGGGTTGGCGTTTTGTAGTCAGAGGGTTTCTATCACGAAATAAATGTGATGCTGAAATGCTGTTTAGTCATATGGATGAAATACGTGTCAAAATCTAAGATATGCTGTTTTAAATCTGATAGGTTTATTCATAGATTATTCTCGACGAGCCATTTACATACATTACAAGTTTAATATACGCCATTGTCCTGAGTTCTAGATCTCCCTGAACTATTAAGAAAGCCCGGTATTGTAACACAGGGAATTTGGAAAGGATCGGATAGTTTCTCGGTATCTAACTTCAGAAAGAAAAGTGCTAACTGAGGGATATTGAAGCCAATATTGTTGTACGTATAAGTTAGTTTACGGCAATTGGTTGTAAATAAGATCATACTAAGCCAGTCGATACGACAGAAGTATAAAGAAATTTCCTAACCAATGAACAGGCTTATTGTCCAAAAACAAACAAATATATGTTAGACAGACTAACCTTTCTTTTTCTAAAAGTTCTGACAGCTTAAAATGTGTCAGCACTTCGCACGAAACGTCCATTACTTTTTTATGAGCCAGCCAATCGGCATTGTTAACAACATGAACTGAACCTAGCTTTCCAGAAATAGGTATAGATGGGACAATTTGCGTCCAGTAATTATGGAAGATCTGATTTAGATTATGCTCTATATGGGTGGAATTGGAGATGTATTGTTCCAAAGACTGATAATCACGTTTTTTGGTTCTACCGCTAGGGTCACCCAAAATACTAGTAGATCCACCAACCTTCGAAAAGTTAGAAAACTTGAAATGACTGACATACAACCGCAATGATATCTTTGCCGGATAAATGGCATCGAAGCAGACCACAGACAGCTACTAAGTTTCCTAACTGCAAACTGTTGCATGTAGGATCAAATCCAGCATACACAGAAAAGTTTCCAGTTGTTTCAAGATTTGATAGGTATTTTTCGCTTGAAATTTATTTAAGTATTTTGCAAATATACCTTCTGCTTGGGAGGATCTCTGAAAAGTAGCCATCTTTTAGATAGTCGCTAATCTTTTTTTGCGAATGATAACCTCTGAGTACAGACCCAAAAATATACTTCCATCGATATACACAATGTAACGCAACCATCAAAACGTGTCCGGTTCAAACCCCAATATCCCAAACCTTTGCACGAGCCACTATAAACTAAGTGATTTCTTGGCAATCGATTCTTGTTGTTTCAGTATGGTTTCAGATAGTTGGTAGAGTCCGATGGATGGTATTCTAGCCACTCGAGTGCTTTAACTCTAGTCAGTTTGAAGTTTTTTCTGAATATGTATGTCGCGTGATTTGAATGAAAGCGTTTGTTTCAATGCAGTAGGGTTTCCTGGATACCAGAAGCTATCATGTGACTAGACTAGCGATCAGTTAGTTGCTATGTGGAGAATAATGGGTGGAAAATTCCTGTACTAACAGGATTTCAGAATCAAGTAAATAAATAAGCTCATTAATTGATGGTGAAAATGGCGTGAGAGGACCGAAGTGTGATCAAGAGAGATTAAACAGAGGTAGAAATCGAGACGGAATAATTTATCAATCTAAAGAAATTGCGTTAGTAACAACAAGCAAGTTCTAAGATATGTGTCGGGCATAGTTGTTTCAAGAGAGATCAAAATCCTTAAATGAGTGCGTGTTTATCGATTCTCTTCTTGCAGATGCACACTTAGTGGCTGTGGTAATGTAAGTTGGAAGGAGAAACTGAGGGGACAGCAAATGCGAAAAATGTGCGCAAATCTGTGTGTTGGTTCTTCAATGCGCAATTTTTCAAGTATTACCTCGAGGGGCGTGGTGGTGACGCTTCGGTAAGATGCTCACGTTGGGACAGTCTGACGTCTTTACCATGTTGTACGCTATAATCAGATCACCTCTAGACTCCAGTACTTAGGATTTTTTTTCTCCGAGTTACAGGTTTGTTCTTCAACTCTATCACCCATTTAGTTACTCTTTTATGCACTGAACCCAAGAGATTTATGTCTCTTTCAAGGAAAATAGGTGCAACAAAGTTTTGAACTTCAAGGTTTGGGCAAGCGTATGTTTTAAACAGTGAAAGGAATAATTCTGAGGTAATTGCGTCAGTTTGCCTTCTCATAAAGTGAAGATTTGCGTTAATCTTGGCTGCGTCCCCTATGTAGTTTGAAACAGCGTCTAGGCTTTCGATGAGCATTAGACCGAGGTCTCGCTCTGAGGAAATTTTAGGTAGAGGACTTCCGTTGAGGGTGTAAGTCATTCATATCACGTGGGGAAGAATGCATATAACGTGGAATTTTGTCTTGTTAGTTTCAACCCCTTTTCCACTGCCCATTCCTCAACTGACGTAAGGTCCTTCTGAAGCCCAGACCTTCATATCTTTGCATTGTCTGCGTAGATCACTGACTTTGAGCTACTTTTATCTGACTGGTCATTAACGAATATTGGGAAGAGAAGTGGATGGCCCCCTATGAAACTCCTGATGTTGAGACCAACCAAATCGCATGCACTCTATTAACCTTGGTGCGAAACTTTCTAATCTCAAGTCAGTTTCTGAGCCAAGATAGAAACGGATCACTGAAACCCATCCTCGATACCTTCACAATTAGAAGTACACAGAGTACTATGTCGAAGGCTTTTGAGAAATCAAGAAATATTAAATGAACCGGTATTTTTCACTTCCAGAAGGTTATCCAGCTGTCCCATGCTATGGGAAGACTGGATACATATGATCTATCTGGTTGGTAAGATCTTCGCTGTTTGAGGGCACAAACACTCTGGTTTGTAGGTTGTCTTTCAATCGTGAACCTCAACAGATATGTCGGTTCCCCTGTAGTTTGACTTCTAGCTTCATCTGGAAGTGTCTCCTATCGCTTCGAACCTTGATGTTGTATCTCTTTCTCAGTTCCAAGTCTGAACTACTGTCAGAATCCTTCAGAGAGACCTTTCGCTTGTGCCGGACTCCCATTTTCTCCTATTGCTAGCTTTCGGTGCCTCGTCAAACCCAAGTTCTTTTCTTTAATGGTGCGAGATGTGCCCGAAGTATATTGTTTAGGACAGCATTCTGAATAATGTCTCTTACGTGTAGAAGATTCTCCCTCATTAACGTGTATTTGCCTTGGTATAGCAAAGATAACGCTCTTTTTCTCATTTTCGTTTACGACTATATTAAACGTGAATGAACCATTGTCACTACTCCCTACTGGTGAGTGGTCATGGTTATACTCGACCAAGAACTGGTCATTTTTAACAAATAATCCAAGTTTGAGGATTTTCCCTCCTTAGTCCATCTAGTGGCGCCGCATACAGGCCCAGTCAATTTCGAACTTTTTCACGTATTTTTGCTATTTGTGTTGAAACAAAACCAACATGATTCTTTCACCTTTGTTAGCTAGGTACCATGTAGTGTTACGGCTTTCAAAGTGACCGTTAATATATATGGCCATTCCTCCTCCTGTCTCGTGTACCCTATCCCATCCAGAGGGTATCATGCCTTGCAGTCTCGCATCGTGATCTACAATGTCGAGGGATGTTCATTTTTTTTTGATTTACGATTATGAACTCCGGATTCAACTGAGATCACATATTCCTGATCTGTAACAGCTCACCCCTTAGTCCTCTTATGTTGCTACAGAGGCTATAGGTGTTATGTCTCGTCGCCTGGTGCACCTTTGCAGTAAAAGCAGTTGTCGGGTTTTCTAACAAGTTGTTCGAAACGAGTTGGCCAGTTCCGTGGAAATGGTCCGCTGCATGATTTTTGCTTGTGTAGTGTATTCAGTCGGCAAGATCATGATCTTCGCACCTCGTGCCGTGAGGTGGACTGACATTATTGTACGCCTATGCGGGCCTTCCTGTTATTGTCTCACAGATCTAAGTTGGCTCTTGGAATACGTAATGTGACTAGAGAGATCGCCCTTCATACAGTCCAAACCTGAGGCACCTCAGTCAGGTCTTCCCGATTTCTGAAGTCCATAGCCATCAGTCGTAGAGACTTGGCGGTCGTAAGATGTGAAGGATAAGACGGTTGCGAAACACTGCCACGGTAGTTTGAAAGCCCTTGCTACGTGATAGCCGCCGCCATTGTTGCGAATCATTTACGCTGGCTTCATTCAAGCTACCACAAAGTAGCAGAAGTTCTCCATGAGACACCAAACTAGTCAGCTCGTATGACTGTTATTAGAGGCATGCCGATTTCCAAGCAAGATCAAAATATCGAAATTGCCAACACATTTCTTGTAAAAGGTTGTTCAGTTAAGCAAATAGTTCGTAAGGTACGTATAAAGGTATTTTCTACCCCAGCAGTTCACTCCGTTTCCAATAAGTGCAGGTTGGTACGCGATGTCCCAGATCCAATACCAAAACAGAATAATTCTGGGAGAAAACGTGGCCAACAATATTACACCTTCCAACTCCAATTTACCGCGGTGGGTATCCGTTTCTGGAAGAATAAGTGCTTCCAGTCCATATAGTCGATGTATCAAATCCAAATATGGCTGTGACCATATTAAATATCAAATTTAAACAACATATGTACAGTTCAGAAGCAAACATACAAACTTCAATATAAGTACAAGATATAGAAATAATAACAATATACAATGATAAAATCTCAAAATGGAATCAAATAGAGTACCAAAATGTCAACAGAAAGAGTCAGTCATATTATAACACAAATATATATACATGGAGGGATTTTCCAAAAAGCAAAACATTCAAAAAAGGATTCTACAGTACGTCGGCCTTTTATGGGGTGTAAAGTAATTATATTACTCTTGCAGTCTGCTCTGAACCCGGAAGGTGTAGTTTCACACGCGTCCCGCCCAGTCCAAGTCCAAAAACGATAATTCTTGGAGAGAACGGTTCTGTATTTAATCAAAAAAGGGAATTCAGACAATTACCAAAACAATATTACACCTTTGAGTTTATAATCACCACAATAGGTTGCGCTACTGGAGGAATAAGTGCTTCCAGTCAGTTTCTGCTAGAGTATCAAATCCAAATATGGCTGTAGCCATATTAAGTATCAATTTTAAACAACATATGTATAGTTCAGAAGGAAACATGGAAACTTCAATATGAGTACAAGATATAGAAATAATAACAGGATACAAATGATGAAATCCCAAAATGGGATCAAATAATGTACCAAAATATCCAACAGAAGAGTCAGTCATATCATAACACAAATATATATACATGGAGGGATTTTCAAAAAACAAAGCCTTCAAAATAGATTCTATATATGTTACCTATATTTTCCGCGTAGAATTGTAGATAATTTTTCAGACTCTACAATGTGCTGCACGTTAATTGGATAAAACAACGGTTTGATCACTCAAACCTTTCTTTTTCTGTATTAGAACACTAACCATACACCTGCACTTTTGCAGGTTAATAAGGACAAGTCACTAGTAAGATAACGAATGGGCGAATGATCCTATTAACAGAGGAAATTCAAAAGAACTAAATTGTTAGAAATAGTTTTTATTTACAGAATATAATAATGAAGGAATAGTAAACCGATTCGTTAGTGACATTTCACTTATTGCTATTTTTCAACGCTGTAGCTCAAAAAGTTATGAGTGAGCTGGTAGTGCCTCCATATACATTTGAATTCGCTTATATTTAATTTGGCTAAGGTTTCGATTAGCTTATTTAACCAAGCCACTTGTATAGCAACAGCTTATATGTTCCATTGGTTTTTACTAATATCTGGTTTGTATGAGCTGGTACGAGTGAACATTGCTTATGCCTACGCGCATATTCACCCTATTCGCTTTAATGTTGATCTCTTAAGCATCTCAACGGCTCCACACTTTCCTATGTATATATACGAACATTTTAATCTTATTAATCCATTCACCGATTCACCAACTCGCTCGCTAATGTGCTTGCCCTGTTCTGTGTATTTTTGATAATAATAGTAATAATATTTATTCTCAAATAACTACGTTACAAGAGGCATGCCAGTTTACAGGCTAGATCAAATTGTCACAAATCCTTTTACATTTACTGTAAAAGTTATCGCAGTTAAATTAAGTATAAGAGTCCGTTTCTGATAGCACATTTACACTATGTCACTGACAGAAACAGTGTGATACAGCCACATTTTCAATAGGAGAGTACAAATATGGAAGGTGCACAATAGGTTTCTTTGGCGGTTTGCTGAA